TACTAGTAGGAAAAAAAAAAAATTTCCAAAAAAACGCAAGAATCTGTCGATAACGTTGAATAAATGCTACTATAGAATGTGAGAATAAATTGCTAATAGATAACAAAACTTAGGAGCTAGTAGAACTTCTAAGAAATCGAACTTTGATTGATTGCAAGTGGATGTACAAACTGAAGAATAATAAAATTATCAAATAATATATTAGTCAATTACCTGACAATCAAACAAACAATAAAACACAAGTGAACACAACAATGTAATGTGCTTCATCATTAAGGGCTACATCCACAGGTTGGAAAGTCAAAACATTGTGTAAGGAAGTAAGTATGTTACAAAAGTAATTGGAACTTATATCTCTAGATCACACGATTACTAGCTAAATACAAAGGTTAATTCAAAACAATAGTCAATTTTAACAATCTCTTGCTTAACTCATGTTGAGTAAAGTGTAACATCCGTAATCTAGATAATAATGCTCAGTTTTAGTGCTCTTGGCAATTGATTTGTAACTAATAACATCCCTAATGTAACAACCTAAAACACAAGGCTCAAGCTGAAGCAAAGAATAGAACTTTTCAACAATAACTTTATGACACACTCTAATCTCTATATATGCGGTATAGTAAGAAAAATTTGCTCTTCATCCTCAACACTTCTTCCATCACATAGCCTACAAATCCATTCACACCTATCAATATTCAACCAAGGTACTTCCTCAAATTCAAGCCTATGAGATCATGTACTATGCTTAGCAATAATATGACGTAAAGATATAGAGATCTCTACAACAAGTTAATTTTGCTCACAATAAATAAGCAAAGGATTCACATGAAGTTGATAAAACTGCATTTTGCTGTCTCGTCTGAATGTATACCTCATCATCATATTAAATGATGTTGAATAATTCCTCATTAATACGCTCGCAAAGGACCATAGATTGCAAATTCCAACCGATTTTCGTCACATTCCACCTCAAAGACCAAGTCAACACATCTGCAAATCATCTCTTGGAACGTTTTCCACGCAAAGCAAGAACAGGAAGTCAAAAAGCATCAAGGGATCTAATACTTCTAATGTAAGTGATGGTTAAGTAGAAAGCTTCAACCTCAAGAGGTAGAGAACTTGTTTCTGCAAGAAGAATAGCATAAGGAGTTTGGCTACTTACACCTAATTCTTCTTGTAAGAAGATCTTTTGCACCCTCTCCACACGCTTCCAACCCTTTCTTATAGCCAGAATCCCACACTTGTGTCCCATATAAAATCACCAGCAACATTAAGCTCCTAAAAACAATTCCTAAGCCTCCAAGACACTAGATGAGCTCTTCTACAACGGTTCAACAATGAATATAGAGCTTTGTAACTAGCTTTTACTCTCTTTTGCACACAATGTGCCCAACTATAATTGTGAGAAGAATTGATGCCTAAATATTTGTAACTCTTCACTTATTCCAATTCTAATCTGTTATAAAAGACAGAAAACTTGGATCTAGTGCCCACAAGAATGACTTTTGATTTTTCCAGATTAGTCTACATCTAATATTGAGTACAAAAACTAGCCAAGGTATCAAGGTGTTTTTGTAAACTAATTGCATCACGCGCTAGTAATATGATATCATCTGCATACGAAAGAGCTTTGATCACAAAGTCTCCAAGTTTGACTTCTTCACTCTCACAATCATTCAACAATCTTTTTATGAAAATTCTGAAGAGAGTAGAAGAGAGAGTACAACCTTGAATAACTTCAATGGTGTTCAAGATCTCTTGAGACTAAGATGCATCAATTTTAGCCCAAACTGAACTGTATAAAGTGGCCACGGCTCCAAAAAGATTAGCCGGTACTCCAATGTCTTGTAGTTTTTCCCATAAAAGCTTACGAGTAACAGTATCAAAAGCTTTCTTCAAATGGATGAAAGCACAAAATAAAGCTTTACCATTGTCCTTGAATTTCTTCCATAAAACACGTAAGGCCAAAATATGGTCAATAGTATTGTATGTAGGGCAAAAACCAGCTTGGAACTCTGCTCTCTTTTGAAAACACTTTGTCCATGTGCTCAACTTTGATTCTAACAACTTCCCAAACAACTTAGCAAAAACATTACCAACCATGATAGTCAAATAGATTTTCACCGCGTACTTCACTCCTAATTTATGAATAGTAACAATCTTTTGCATGGACCAAGTTGATGGAAAATCATGAATCAAAGCATCTTCCAAAATCTTAGTGAGAATAGGTCAAATACAATCTCCTCCTCACTTGATAAGTTCAATGGAAGAACCATCTAAATTTTCACATTGACCATTTGCTAATTTTTGGAGTATAGTTATCAACTCTACTTCCGAAAATAATCCAGGTGTTGCTTCTCAATATGGCATAGATGTAGCTTCGGTAAAGAAATATAGCTTTTTGGTAAAAACTACCAAAGACTTGGAATCAAGAGAAGGTTTTGACAATGGTGTAGCTAATCGTATCTAAAAGTACTTGGAATCCTTCATCAAGTACTTTGTCAAGTATTCTTGCTTCCCCCTTGAGAAAGCTCGTTTTTTAGACTTCACCAAGTCTTTCTATAACCTTGTCAAAAGAAACCAACTTTGAACATCCAAAGAACTATCAATCAACCTTGCCCTTGCTAGCTTACATTTGGAGTCAAATCATCCATTACAAGATAGCCCCTTAGCAATCACAGAACTATGCCTCCAAAAGAACTTTGATGCAGAATTTTTGAGCAATTCTATGAGTTGTAAACTATGTGAATCTCGACTTCATATGATGGGAGTCAAAAAATCTTATAGATGCTAAGCATAAAGATCTCTTTTACAAGGATCTAAGCAAAACTAGGGAGAAGCTTATAGAGATTGGCAAGGTGAGGGAGATATTGATTTTGACATTGAAAGTGTAAACAAAAGAGATGCATGGTCTGATTTAGTTTGAGTATCAAGAACATCAAAACTAGAAATCAGAGAGGTATTAACCAAGTAATTCAAAAGAAAGTTTATTGTGCTAGCGCCGGTAGAGGAAAAACAAATATTGAACTGTGAGTTGGGGAAGCGAAAGGTTACATCAAGAACCTTCAAGTTACAAGTGGCTTCAAATGTCAAAAAGTGCTTTGTCAAAGAATTTGTGGAAGTATCAAAAGAGGTTCTAGATCACAAATTATCTTAAATTTCTTCAAACATAAAAAAAGTCAAAGAATCACAAAATTGAGCACAATGTATACGACCATTGAAATCTCCAGCTAGAAAATCATCCCCTTTACTTTGAAATCTAAGAACGTTTCTGATAAACAGATGAAATGATTCACTTCAATTGCAAAAATGTGTTTAGTAGATAACCATGAACAATGATGCAAAATAAAAAAATTTCCAAATAGCAATAAGATGCTCCAACTATACCAAGACGTAGCCAATGATATTGTCCACCGACATCTTGAGCTTGTAGATGTATGAGAGATAGAAGATGAAACCTGCAATATCTGCTTGATCTCTTTCGCATGTTTGTCTTCTCTGGTTCCATGTCGAACCCATCAAAGTAAATCCTTTCAACTCAGTAATAGTATTTTTTTTCATGTTCCCAAGTATCCACAATGTTGATGACGTCAGTCATGTTCCAAATCGGATCACATACTTTGTTGTTGAAAGTCCTTGGATATTCCACACCAACACCTTTAGCTTTTTGGATTGCTATGTTGATAACACCCTCCTCTTATGAATGATGATTGCTCTCCCATCGTGTAAATAAGAAATAAAACCCTACTTTTAAATCTCTTTTACCTTCGCAAGCTCTTTTCTCCTAGCTTTCACTTATAGTGGAGTAAGATCAGGATCCAACCATATTTTACGTCCCTTGAGAATAGACTTGTTAGCTAAAGCAACATCACGTTTGAGTTTGATTGACAAACTTCACTATAATGCCACGAGGTTGAACTCCCTTATTTCCAATACAAAAAGCTTGAGCCAATTTTGGATTGGAAACATAAAGTGTTTCAACCAAAAGTTGGTGAAAATACTCTTCATATCTTCATTTTCTATTTCAGGTAATCTGAGATTGTCATATTCTTCTTACGCGCAAACTGATTGGACTTTCCAATCTCTTGTTCTTAACAAAAAGAGATTTGAACAGTCTTTGTAACTTCAGCATAAGATTTCATTTTCAAATCTAAGCTTTCAATCACCTCATACAATCTAGAATTATCTGCACTTGTCACTTGGAATTAATCTCATGAATTCAATACATTGCGCAAAATATACATATTGTTCAAAGAGATTACAAACCCCAAGACATGCAACAAGGTGAAATTATTAATAAGTTAGTAGAACTAAGCTTAATATGTCACTATGTATTAAAGTTGATCATATGATCTTTCGACACAAACTTAGAATTTATATGTAAAACATTGGTGTTCATGATAACTCCAATGTTTTACATATAAATTCTAAAATATTGGTGTTACCATGAACATTATTGACTCTGCATAAAATTGTTTTAATAATGTGCAAGAACCGGTTAAATAGTAGTGTCTTGAGCTTGTTTTTGCAAGTACGTAAAATTGTTATAAGAATGTCTATGCAATAGAGTAATCTATTGAGATCTTTTTGTGTGAATAGTCTCCTTTGATTTGTGCCTTCACTTTGTTGCTTTTGGTTTTATAGAAGTGTTTCGCATAAAATTCATGTTCAATTAATTACTTGTTTTACATAGTGATATGAAAACATATACCTAACATATTATGTTAGGTAAGTAATACCTAACATAAATTTCAACCGTACGCTTCAACCAATTTTAGATCTCCATGTAGAACAGCCAACAGAAAATCCAGGGCTAAAGTGAATTTGCCGAAACGAATGTAAAATGTCACTCCGATGTTCTAGGGAATGCGCTTTACACAGTACATCGTGTAAGTGAAAATCCGACGCTACAGCAAGAGAAAGAGAAAGGAGTCTCCGGTTAGAACGGGAGGCTTCTTTCGAAGGTCACGAGGCTTGCCGCAGTTCCAGCTGCGCGCATGCGGCGAGGGAACAAATTCAACGAGGCAGAACTCGGGAATTCAAGAGGGTTCGAAGGAATGTCGTCTACCGAGGCGGAGAGAGAATGGCGAGCGGCGCAGCTGTTCATGGCCAAGGGCCCATCGCCGACCCTGGAGTTTTTGGTGGAAGACGCGAAAGCGCAGCTCTTCGCTCTCAGAGCGCAAGCGTTGGACGGTCCGTGTCCTTCCGGACAGGATGGATATTTGACGACGGATCCTGCTCTGAGGAGGAAGCAGGAGGCATGGGCTGCTCTTGGGGCCATGCCCCAGGTTGAAGCGAAACGTAAATTTGTGGAGTTTTTGACGACTGTGCTGCCAGAGTGGAAGGCTTGGAGCGACACGCATGGTGAAGCTCTTAGGGTAGAGCAGCAGGAGGGCTCGGCAGAGCGCATTCTCAGACTGTTCAAAGCCAAAACAGGCGTCGGATTCCCATCGAGGCTGTAATTTCACTCTATTTTGAATTTCAGATCAGTCGGCTTCAAAGTGTGAGCTCTGATTTCTCAGCTCTCTCTGAATTCCGCAGCCTACAGGTGTACATAGCGCGGAAGGCCTCACAGGTTGCGACCAGTTGAGGTACATACGTTTTCTAGCACTGTTCTTCGAATATACTGATCATTATACGATCTTCGAATGCTCTTAATTGTCGACAATCTTGTGAGTAGAAAGTTGATTCAGTTCCAAGACAGGAAGATTCGCAGCCCAATTCTCATGTTGAATTGCCACTTGGTATCCCTCAGATTTAGGCAAACGCTTTCGAGAAAAGCGGTACAACGATATGGGAACTATGGAAATTGACGAATGTTTCAGTCTTTTGGTTTATCGTAATGTCTGGACATCTTTTCGAAATCTCCCGACAAGTCCAAGCGTCTTGTCTGATCCAAGTCTGATCCAACAACAATGACTTTGAGACATTGTTCTAGGGTCCTATTGCAGACATTTACTTGGACTGCAAAGGTGTGTGTTTTCACTTCTTGACCTTCGTCCCCACCTTGAGAGCACTCTCCGAAGATTTGATCTGGTGGGTTTTGGTCCAAGTGGGATCTTCACTCTGAACAACCCGGCAACGGTTTCCCGTTTCATGACACAATGGCAATTTTCCATGGTGCAATTCATCGTTAACTACACAATTGCAGGGGGTTGGGTCTATACATCTTTTCGTGAACTCGGTGAGTACTGTCAATTACGAACTCTCCTGCCGGTGGTCGTGAGCTCAACACGTGTGCTTCGGATACCATGTGCGATACAGCATCACAGCAAAGAGAGGGAATGTGCCTTAAATACACCTTCCGGGTTCGAAGAAAGTCAGGTTAGAGAGTCGTGTGATGGGCGACTATCTCTTACGATTCGGGAGCACTTGAGTTGCTCAGAACGGTGAACGGGGTAATCTTGGGGCGGCATATGTTGCCGCGTAGACCATGAAATATAGGTTACTATTTTCTTCTTAGAATCACACGTAGCAAATAATCGCTCGATAACTCCCTGCCAGATTTACAGAGACTTACGATAATTAATCACAGGATAACCAAATACCTCGCGACTGTCCAGCGACAATTAATAATGATAGAAATTTTACTGCTAAAGACAAGAACTGCATGTGACCAGTTCCGTTGAATATGATACACTGCGGTCGCTATCGCTAGAAAGATTCTATTACTTTTGGACCATCTTTCAGAGTGGTACGCTTCTGTGTAGAATGCACATCTGGGTAACTCAACTGTACACTAAATGTCCTACTTTCGCCCATCCAGCTCTATGACCTCAGCCCTTTTCAATTTGGACGACCAATAGTAACTAAATAAACTCCCTGAATTACTGGCTAGATAGTGTTTGGAAAACTCTGTGAGACACAGTTTTCCTTTCCTAAGAGCTGCTTTTTTGAACTCAGAGTCCCAAGACATTCCCCGGAGTTCACTCTCCATGTTAATATTTGGCGGCCTACTTAACTGTGTTTCATCCTCGTCTTCTGCTGTTACAATGGCCCCACTCTGTCCAGGTGTTTCTGCTACCTCGGGCTCTGGTGGTTCGCCGTGATCTTGAGGTGAACGCAATTGGGCAGGCTGCGGCTGTTCCTCCACTACTGCTGTTGTGCTATTATTATCTTTCCTCGGAGAACTATTTGTAGACTCGTTCAAAATGGCTCCTTGTCCCTGCCAGGCGTCCAGCTCGGTAGCTCTCATTGGAACATTGGGAAAATAATCCTGTCGCCTGCATCACATCTCACCAAATTGTCGGTAACATACAGCAGACGGATCAAGGCCTACATGTAAACCAACTTATTTGATCACCAAGTAAAAACTGACTTCCTGCAGTGCAGGCAGAGAAGGACTTTACTTGTACTTGCTGCATTTCTCGGAGTTCGGAAGTTGCTGAATCAACCGTGCAATTGTAGGATTCGCGAAACCAAAATATTCTGGCCCTGCTTGCCCACAACTAATTTGTTAATCGCGTTGATCAGAACCTTCCATACGGAGATTTGGGGGTCGCACGCGTACAGACAGTTCTTTTTCTTTTCTTAGTCCAATGAAGTGCGCGTCCTTCGAGCACTAAATGGATGACTATTATATCCTAGTTATCGACTGTACTACCTAAACAAAGTAGAGACAATGTTCGGGATTGATGAATGCTTCAACCAAATGTCAAAGCCCAAGAGTTTTGGTGAGTTTCATCTCAAAAAAATTAGAGATCGGTACAGAAAGCTATAAAGTAGTAGATAACATACTGCGACAGAGATACTGGAAAAATACAACTGTGAATGTCCTGCTTATGTTTTATCCGAGCCCAAAATGGTTCCACATTCTAAAAGATGTTCTTATCCTTAACGCAGAGTAAAAATATATTCTCTTCTCAATGTTCATCTCCGCAGCTGAAAAAGCAGTTGATATCTGAGCATCACAAACCTGAGACATTTGCAAAGGTTTTCTTTCCACCCTCTTCCAGACGAAGAAGACCAACGCGTTTCACGACGACAGTCCACACAGCAGTCGCTGATATACCTATGACGGGATTATTTTCATCGTCCTCTGCATCAGATGTAACAGGATCATAAGCTTAAGAGCATCTTAAGATAAGATAGTCCAGATTCTCATATTCCATAATATGCTTTTAGACACTAGCTTCTAGTATCCTTGAGGTGGCACATTGGAGACATCCCGCATTAGGAACAAGTAAGATCTTTATATACATACTATTACCGGGATCCAGAATAAAGAAATGAGGAAGAACTCGTACCTGGAGTGAGGCGAAACTCAGGAGCTTGACCATCATCCACAATCTCACACCTATGCAAAATAAAACAAACTTTGACTGAGATGAAAGGCATGTTGATGTCCCGACAACGCTCGTGACAGAGAGGACAACTCAAATCCACAGCAAATCTCAAACTGTTCCACAGAATCTCAGGAGGAGGATATACCAGTAGAATATACGATTCTCAGAGTTCAGCATACTTGCGTACGCTCGGCGACTCTTATATCCTGCAGGCCTACACATCAATATAAAGGATCTCGGCTACATCAGAAGTGTTGTCCGTACTATGTTGCTAGTGACAAAAATATATCTCTCTGCCTATCCTGAGCTTTAGCTCAGGATAGGCAACTCAGCAACTTAGATTTGCATGCAGAAACCTAAGATGAAATTATATGAAAGGTCAAACGCAACCGACAAAATTCAACACGTACCATATGTACTTCTCACTGTGGAAGGCGGGTCTGTTCCACACCACTTTACCAAGATCGTAAACCTGAAGACTGGGTCCAAGTTTTATCGGGAAGATGGGACGCCCATGAATATCACGAGGAACTTCTTCACATCTGCGACGCTTATTTATATGTACATGCTCAGTTGGCTTCTCCGTAAGGGCAGGAAGAGGAGGCTGGGGTAATTCTGTATTAGGCAAATAAAGACAAACCAGGTTGTTAGGGGTCGTTATGCCAGATTGAATTGACCTCAATCGATCCGAAACAGTACGCAAGAAAAGTCTACATAAACTTCAAAATTCACAGACAACTGGGTCGAACAAAAAGTATACTCGTCCGTTTCTTATACGAGTTCAAATCCTGAGTAACAGATATACTTCACAAACATGGATCACCTACGTTGCTCAGAAGATTTATAGTCAGCTCTCGCAACACGTATAGCTTGAGCAAGATCCTCCTGGCCCTGTGTTTTGTCCTTGCGAGTCCTTTTGGCAAGCCTCTTAAGCTCCCACCACATTTTCTTATAAAGTTCCCTACAACCTCCAGGCCTGTCCAGAAGCACAATCAGGTGTCAAGTCAATCAGAATCTACTACCTAGGAACAGACATAAGAAACAAACCAAAGAAACACGTAAAGCACGTAGTTCTTTTATGATACACATCCCGTATACATAAACAACGAAGAGGGACTGAGATTCAAAAACATTGAAGCCCTACAGTATTCTTAAGATCCCACATTGACTAGAATGAGTACAATGTGTAAGTTAGGAAAAACAAACAGATAGATTAACTAAGAAACTGGAAGAACAGTGTGAACTGGTATGAAGGTACCCAGGGAGGGATGTAGCTTCCTTCGGTACTTAACAGAAACCGAGAAGCTAGGGTCAACGCAGAAAGTGAGCGTGTATCTATCCGCCCCCGCAATCCAATCCGCGAACCTTAATAATTAGTAATTCCTGTCATGGCCTTGAGGCCACAGAAGGCTCGCCTTGGCTGAGTCATGCTAGTAGTAACAGAAAAGGAAGAGTAAGATGGGATGCAAAGAGGTGGAAGAGGGAATACTATTTGAGATTAGAAAGCGTCCCTCTCTTGACACGATTTCATCCCAATGAGGTTCATTCGGAGCTTCCAGGTGTCAAACAAAGCCTTTCACTACCTCCTCAACACAAAAAAATTGCTGGCAACGAGAAACTTCAAAACAACCACAGATTTAACAAACCTACTCCGTCGAGTGGACAATGTAGGAAATATGCATTGACACAGATTAATATTGACTGGTAGAAAGACAAGCACATGTACCCATCCACAAGAAAACCCATCATCGAGCGGTATGGATATTCTATGCTCTAAATATACTCACTAACCTTGGCTTAAGATACCACAAGCTTGGCCCATACAAGACCAACAATTAAGAACTCAATTACCTCCCATTATTGTCTTTGACCACAGGTATGGAATGATTTTCACAACCAAGACCTCCGGTTATCTCCCGGGAGTGGAACGGTAGACATGACAATTGGACGATATACGTCTATATAACAGCGTCCACTCTGAGGTGTTGATAAGGTTGTCAAAATACAAAATAGAAAACGGAGGATATTTCAAAATACAACAACATCATCAGAGACGAATTTACGGAGAAGAAGTTTGCCATGTTTAGGTGGAAAATACGATATCGAGAAGATCAGAGTAGACGTCACCTTACACAAACTTCTGAGACCCGCTCATTACCCCCAACTTGAACTTGGGTAAAGGAAGCGTAAGAGTTACTGACGAAACTCACATTTCTGCTGCTAGAGGGAAAAGGCTTGAATCGTTCTTCTCCGTGAGCTCGAGAAGGTGTGCAACACACTGTAAAGTTACATTGGTTACGATTAGGGCAACACAAAAAATGGCAAGTACCAATTTAGGTGTACAAAAGAACTGTGCACCTTCTATACATCCAAAAACTAAGAAGCTCCTCCCTGCTTTACATAAGCTTCGTCGCATCCAGACAACGAAGTCAGAGACGTTGCTTACCTTTACCGCATTGGCCACCATACCACTTGCAGGCTCTTCCGATAAAAATACACCCCTACAGAACACAGGAACAACACAAGAACATACTGAAAAAGGCATGGTCAGAACCTCAGCAAACACTAACAAAGCATGAAGATACGACTACCAAAACTTGGTTACATCAATACCATCAAAAGGGTTGACTCTAGGTTCTAGATTTGAACGACACTACTAGATTTCATGCTAGCTAGATTGGATATACATGCTAACAATGCCAGCAATTGTATGAAAGGAGAGGCTCTTCACTCCCTCCCATAATAGACATTTTAGCACTTAGCTTAGTTTCACTATCAAAGGTTGTTTGGAAACTAACAGCTCTACACATCGACATGTTCGGAACGAGATAAAAGTGGATCTTCTTTCACCTTATTGGAGCTAATAGAGATACTAAAGTAGCAGAATGTCGCTCGGGTCCCCCAATCACTGATTCTGAACTCGTCAAAGACGTGCATCGAGTGGAACGGTCCCCCTGCTTACAGGAATTATTTGCTTTCCTTTCACGAGCAGGAGGAGCAGGAACAAGAGTTCCGTTTAGAGGCTCTTCAACCTCCTCAAGCCCTCGTTTCTTCGAGAAGACAGGTTTATGGCCAGTTAAAGGTGCCTCCACATGACAGTTGGCCGTTCCGATTTCCGTATTATTCTGAGCAAGGTAAAACGGTCTACGATCAAAAGAAGTTTGTAATTACTCCAACCAATTTCTGCAATACGCCATATCAAACCATCGTAAATCAAACTACTCAGACCTTAAGCTTTCCAATCATGGTCTCAGTACCTGAGTTCGAAGGACACTTTTATCGTCCGTTGATTCATCGGCACCTAGACCTAGGAACCGTTGTCCAATTAAAGCCTCCAGATTATGGGCATCTCTAACAGCCCTAAATTGCAGGGCATGCAACGAGAATCTTTCTGATCCTTGCCACACTAAAAGATGGGTAATCCAACGCGAGTCTTTATCAGAAGACAGAGCTAACACGACGTTACCATCTCCATCAATATCTTCAACCTTGACTTTGTCCCATATTTGTGCTGCAGGGCTTGACAGAGGAAATTCAAGCAAAGCTGGAATAACAGAAGAACACGGCAGACCCAAAAGTTGCAAGTTGGGCATGGGGCTTTTTACACGATGCAAAAATATGGTTCTCGACTTTCTCAATTCACCCCCAGTTGGAGTGAAGCAGGAACCTGATAAGCCAAACATCAAACAAAGTACTTCATCGTCAACATTTTGTAACTCTAATTCAGACTAACAACAGCAACACTGTCATATTACAGAGAGAATATCTCGGAACTGAGTGATCATGACAATAACTATGTTTGGACATCACAACTGAATATGGAAAAACAGGGGAAACGTCTTAAGGTACAACCTAGCTAGGCTGCAAGCTAGTAAAAGCCTCGACTCAGAGGTAAAATCAGCACAAACAATGCAGCAACAACGATCAGATATTTTGAGCCCCTTCTGTATTTACTGCAAGCTTCACATTCTCTATAGAGATCTTCTAACCTGTGTTTATTCCGGGCGGAGCTTGACTGATAACAAGGCGCAGATCTCTCTCGGATGGTACTACGTGCTTCAGAAGACTCTCGTCAATGACATCTCCCTTTTCCGCAACGCAAGCCCCGCTTCGCCATTCTTCCTTGATATGAAACTTTGACCCAGCGAGCCCTTTCACCGCAACTGCAGATAATTCAAGGTGAAAGTAGGCCAAATCCAACAAAAGATCGGTAGTGTAAATAGCGGCTAGTTTGTAAAAGGACGTCGAGATGTGAATACCACCCTGCACACAGAAGCCGGTCTGTCAGATCTTCCAAGGAAGATCAAATGTACTTCAACATGAGCTCCACGCTGTGTCCAATGTAACTTACAGTTGTGCCAGCGATGCAGACACAGGATGAATTAGCATCGTTGTCCGTACTGCTAACATCCAGAAACAATGCGTCACAATACTCCACGTCACTTCCTCTCGCATCAACCTTCGAGAAGGCGTCAAGGACCATCCTGTGGTATATGTCGGCAGAGCCACCTGCACCCCTTTCAGAGAAAAAGGGAAAGTGAAGGACAATTCATGTTATTTGTGCTTGACTTGTAAACGATTAAGTGAAGAGGCACTACAGAATTTCGTATGCAAGTTCCTGATAAAAATTAGAGGTTGGTCGAAACATGGGTACTACTTCAAATGAAAACCATTTGAAGCAGAATTGGAGATAGAAGGATATGTAATTTTGCCTGCAAATGGAATCAGCCAGTCCTGGTAATGGATTCCACAGGCAGCCTCTTCCTTCCGATAGGTTCCATATTCAGCCTCTTCCGCCGACAATGAGTGACCCCTAGCCTTAGGGTTTATACAAAAATTGGTCGAGGATGATTAGGAAAAGACTAACTTGCTAAAAGCATATTCCATAAACATTCAGCAATGTGCATGCCACAAAACATTCTGGAAAGGATCTGATTGAAATGAAATGCACAACAGATAAACTTACCGGTTTTGAGACATCATCACGAGAAGCCTGATTCGAGGGGTTTGTGGCGTCCTCTTTAGTTCCGCGACACTCGTATTGGGCGATGTTGTGATGTTCTCTGATGAAAAACTCGGAAATTTCTTCTTTGCTTGCATCTTGGCATTTTCATCTTCTCTTTCATAGGGTTGGAAAAACCTCTGTACTGCCTCTTGTATAGAAGATTCAACATTTTGAATCTCTTGCTCGGTTACCTTCCATTGTAGAAAACCCTTAGCTATCTGCATAATGCAGACCACTTAATTAGAAAGCAATTGAGATAGTTGGATCAGGGTAAGAGTATATGTCCATCAAGACCATCATAATAGGAGGAAATCACAGAAATGAAGCATTCGTGACTCCTAGCTACCACCCACTTTTTGTATGGGAGGTACCACCTGGAAGCAAGTTTTGGCACAACAATTCATCTCCTGCTTGGAGGACAAACTTACAGGCTTTTCTGTGATCATCTTCTGCTGGCTAGTCAAAGAAAAGACACTGCAATAATGTTCTGGATTTCACGATATGCATTCATCTTCTCTCTTGAAAAATTTGAAAAAGGTGGTGAAAAAAATCTGAAGACGAGGAATTGTAAGTAAACTGCACTTAAGTACTCCAAAGTTCACGTACTGATTCAAGAGACTGTTGACCGGGATCCCAACTCGTGATAGTGTGAACTTGATTTCCAGTGCCTCCAAGAACGGATAACTGCAGTGAAAAATGCCTATCAAGTTGAGATATTCGAGATAACCAGTAGGAACTAGAAGAACTCAACGTCTATCCACTAAGAACATCACGCTGGCTAGGTGTGACACCACACTGGAGATCGGTTTCGCAATGAAATCTAGTGAACAATCGATGGACAGAACTCAAAGACTATGAACCAACCATACCTTGCCGCCTTGAGGTTGTGATAGAAGTAAGCGTGCATAGCCCAACAAACCTTCTGTAAGGACGATGGGAAGAATTAATAACCATGAAATAGCTAACAGTAAATCAGTCCAACGTACTGCACTTTTCCAGAAGGTCTACATGTGTATTCATTGCTTCTACGTTTGTAAATTGTCAACAGCCTCAGTGTGCCCTCTTCGAAAACCTTTTTCTCCTACAGTTTGTACGCAAGAGGTTTTAATTCACTTGCTGACCGTCTAGAAGAGATATGGAAATCCGAGTTCAAATGTTCAATTCCGCACAATCATATTGCAACATTTGACAGATATAGCGACGATCACTCGACTGCCCAGTGCAGAGAGTCACGATAGCACAGATCAGAGAATGACTCTCTCACTCATTCCCGAGGAATTCCAAGAGTAGTGGGCTCTGACTTCCTACTTTTACATAACCTTGAGAAAAAACCCTCAGCTTTGGAGAGACCGATCCGGATTCAGACTATTAATTGAATTCATGACAAATAACTACTTGTCGGACGTAATAACCTGTAATTTGACAAAGGGGTCCACCCTAGGATTACAGCCTCCAACAACCAAAATCCTGGATTTTATATGCCCTTCGAGTAAGAAAATTTCTTCCTTATGAAAATTAAGTAGATCGTTCGAAACTTTCTATGGACGAAGTGCGCAGATAACAAGCTATTGCATAATCGTGCAAGCTTGCATAATAGCCTCGTTCTTCTACTACCTACACGCTCCAAGTATCTACGACATTGACCAATTAGGTAGCATGACGTAACTCTATGTAAACGCACCAATGGCGCAAGTACTGCTCAGTTTTTTTAATGAGTGAATGGATGCCAAAGTGGATACAATGGAGAAGTCTGGCATAAATAGCAGTTTCTCGGCATCTCCATGAGTCTTGGGAAAAGTAAATGGTGTGGATTTTCCTAGAATGTCTCCACCATGAGGCCCTTGAATCTATCGCTATAGCTATTCTACAAGCTGAGCAAGTGAAGAGAAACTTATTCGTTGCAACAAGAATATGAACAAAGTTCTTCACCGAGGACACACTGAGGCTGTTTGAAAATATACATCAAGTGTCCCCAGTGACGCATGGTTGGGGCAGGTCTCCAACGTCGACGAGGAAGTGAAAGGCTGCACTGTGCAACATGCACTTGATTCCCGAGAATGTGGTGTCGGCTTGATTTCAGCCATTATCGAATAAAGAGGAGAGTGGACCTCAACCGAAAGAACTTCCTGTAGTTCACTTCAGCTTGGACAAGTAAAACCTCTCAAATTAGCCACGTGAATGCCCACAATGCTGCCAGAATGTTTAAGCTGGTCCCCGAAAGGCTAATCAAGAATCAAAAACGTGTAGCGAATTTTAGTGGCCATTTTCACTTGGTCAACAAGCTAACATCCAACACTCAACACTGTGAGAGCCGCGTATGAAATCGGGGGTTGAAGAGAATGGAACGGTATACGATCAGCTATCACTGATCTTATTCCACTTTTACGTTCCAAGGGTGAGAAAAGTCTGACAACAGTGTACCAAAAATAGCTGGACTTGTGACGTAAAAGGGATCGACAGACTACTACTTCGAACTAAGTGATAGTATCGGTGCAGTTTGTTCAGTATGGGAAAAATTTGTGCAAAGTAAAGTTGGAGCTCAATTCTGTACACACAGTAAGGAGCTGATCTGTTCCTAGCCCAGGAAGTAGACCACGTATGCCAGGTACGATATCTAATGCGTGCATGATCCTCTGGGAGGTTTGAAAAGCACAATTGACCTGGGGAAGCAAAAGAGGCCGAAGAAGCAGCCGCTGGAGGAGCAGAGGACGACCCAACTTGCGGAAGCAAAAGCACCAAAGTCCTCGCCGCAGGACCTTTCATCCCGGCCAGCGCTGAGGCCACCATGTGCAATCAAGCGAGCTATCGAGGATGGCGTTCACGCTCACGCGAAGAACAAACCCTAAGGACGGAATGCGAGCTGGACGGGCACTCTGCGCCCGAGCGTGCGCGAGCGCGTGTGGCTCGACCTTATCTCGGGCTACAGAAACAACGCAGGACGTCGAGTGTCGAGAAGAAGACGATGAAGAAGAGGCGCGGAAGCGCACGTATCCGAGTCCAGCATCGGCGTCATCATCGGTGCTGCTGGCTCCTGCGTCGCATCGACCGCATGGCCAGCGTCGACCTGCCCATGTCTTGCAGCACGACGACGACCCTCCGCCCTTGTACCGAGAGTTCCTCTACGGCCCGGCATGCTCCCGCGAGCTCTTGGGCGGCTTTTCTTCGTACAAACCACCTGCCGGTCCTTGCCCCGCAGTTCTTGTACATCGAGACTTTTGTGCTCTGCGGAGAGCGTGCTGCCGATGACGTCGGAGTTCCTCTACATTCGCGGACGTTCTTGTACCGCATCCATGTTTTCATCCAGGTCCCTCCCTGCTTTGTCCAGCTGGACGCGGCCACTGCTGACAACTCTCCTCCGCTCTCATGTCTTGTACATGCACTCGTCGGTCGTTGCGTTCGTTCTCTCTCCCTCTCAACCGGAGGGCCTTCATTAATGCGCCCCCATCTGGCTGTCCGGCCGATCTTCGAGCCCTTCTCGATGCGCAGCCTCCTCCGAGCTCATGCGCTTTTTTCTTCTTTTGGCCGAGGGCCTGCGTGCAGCCGTCGAGCGCGCGCATGCAAGGGCCAGACCCAGTTCACGCACTGCTTGCTTCACCCCTTCACCTTGCACACCTTGCCATGCCCGTTAGGACATGAGATGTGTCCATAATATCTATGGTCGTACCATTTCGTTGCAGTGCTCCGGTCTTGCCTTTCTTCAACTCGTCGAGCATGCGTCGATCCTGTTCTCGAAAGAACAAGTTTTCGCGTGCGCGTGATTTTTCTCTATTCAACTGCTCGTTTCGAGATTGTGGATGAGGAGCATGTCTCTATATGACGCCACGACTATCGATTACTCTTGCTAGTTAAATTCCAGTGTCTTGCCTTTAGAAAAAACCAAGAATTTGTACCATCCTTTTCACATCTCTCAAATCTGCTAAAAATATGATAGTATGTATTGTGTATATGACATGGCTTGCAATTCAAATATGTAACCATTATTTGAAAGTTTCATAGTTATGTTGTTTCACCAGTTAACATTATTTAGCATAGAAGTAAGACAAAAACTCATTGATATGTAACACTCATTGCATTCGTTGAGTACATGTTCAAAATATAAATTTGGATTATTTTATGACTCTAGTAAGTCAGTCAACTTTGAAACATGTGATATAAAAAACAAGTGTACTGTTATATGTACAATATATATTTCTTTCTTTCTTATTAATTATTTATTGGTATTTACATGTTTTGAATTCATTATAATGGTTGAAAATGTTTTGAATATACTTGAAAGGTATATATTTTATTCAATTTCATATATCCATATGCATGAAATTCAAACTATCATCATAATAAAGAGGTTTTTTTCATTATGTTGATTTTGTCACAATTGTGACATAAAACTGAAAGATAAATTTTCATGATATATTCTATATATTTTTAATTTTCCACATATTACTATTAAACTTCAATATTTAAAAACATGTTAAGCATATGTTAAAATGTATATACTCTTCATCATTTATTTGATTGCAACATATTTTCAATAATTTATTTTTAATCAAGATACAATGTCAACTTCATTCTTTCATCATTGCATATACATTGTGTATATGTAAAGAAAACTTCTTATATTATAATCTAAGCATGTAAATATATATCATTCATAATTATTTTAAAATCAAATTGCAAAAGATATTGTAATTGTAAAATACAATATTTATTCATCATTCAATGACACAAGAGTATAATGTGGTTCACCCTCAAGTGCTACATCCACGAGGGAATAACACTTGAGAGACTTCACTACTTCATGTGAAAACCTCTTAGTACACGCAGAAGCATCATAGTATATATACCCAACGTATGCAACCAAACTCAGCTATAAATAACTACACTTGAGGTTACTACTTAATCGGAGTTAACATCAACAATCTCCCCTTAATATCGCGTTAAAGAGTCTCAGTAACCTCTCTAACTATATCATTACTCAACGGTAAGTTTTAAATGTAATCATAACACATGATCACTCATGGTTGTATTAGACGACTAAATTAAGGGAGTTAAGATTTGATGTGTACATGCTATAAGCAATGGAGAGTGGACACGTATGTAGAATGGATGGATTTTTTTATTTTTTTTTTACATGAATGTGATTTTTTAGGAAAAAAAAAAGTAAAAATTTTTACTCTGAAACTAAATTTATTAAACCAAATTAGCCTAAATTAAATTTTTTGAAATTAAATTGGTCTAAATTAGCCTAAATGAACTTTATAAGGGGACTAGATTAGCCTAAATTAATGTTTTTGAATAGACTAAATTATAAGTATTTAGGTAATTTAGGCGGGAGACTATTATATCCATGCCTGCACATTGTACTTCTTCAAATGAAAGTTAACTAGAACTAAGTCATAGCTATAACTGGAGAGAATAATAATATATAAAGTTAACTCAATAATCTCATTTAATTCGTGTTAAAGAATCTCAGTGACCAATCTAATCTATATTATTATTACCATAACAGAATAAAATAATAATATACATATGTACTCAACAATATATCCTTAACTTGTGTTAAGGAATCTTATTAAAGTCTCTGAGCTATGTTATTATTCCCATAATATAATACAGTAATAACTCATGTGAGTTAATCTCAATAAACTCTCTAACCTATATTATTATAGGTTTCACTTCTCCACCGAGCTAGTCGAAAGATCTAAGATAATGCTTAGCTCCTGTATGAAAAAGTGATTCAAAGCAATGAAATTCGCCAGGACAGCATCGAGAATATTGATGAACATCTAACCATTCTTCACACAACTCTCTTCCTTGCCACCTTCCATAATCCGAACTCGCAGTTGAGGCTGGAAAGGATGTTGATCAACATCCTTTCCATTTCCGCAGATCACGGCTTTTCTATTCATTGTCGAGGGACTTGACTGCAACTTAGATTCGTATTTTCCTTTCTTCAACATTATAGGTTAAATTGCACACCATAGAGTCTCGAAAACAAATATGATGATCTTTTTGTGAAACAATAAGAAAACTCGCTCGTCCGAGTCTTAAAGATACATCAATTGTCATCGCTGACGTGCATCCGCAACATACTTCTTGTGCAAGAGTTGAGTAGGTTTCATGGTGCATCATTGTGGAATTCATCTTACATTTCCTCGGCACAGTGCTTAGATTCCTCTAGAAGTTCCATGACTCTCCGATGAGTGGAACGTGATTGAATCTCAAATCTCTCTTGGGGTACTCAAAGTCTTGTTGATTCAGAATTGGAGCCTAGTGTATACGCAAAGATCTCCAAAATATTGTCAATTCTGAATTTTCACAAACTTCCTTACAGTTTTTGATACTACTAAGATTTCACCAACTCAAATTTTATTAGTTCGACCAATAAAATTACAGATCGAACTACTGTGAAAATGTGCTTACAGTTTACTCTCATCTCTCGCCTCGAACTTCTTTCGAAGAAACACCAAACACCTCAAATTGTAGAGTACACTTTGTCTGGAACAGAAAGTTTTTGTTTTGAACTCTTGTACAACTCAAACTGTCCTCCACTTTCTGAATTTCAAATTTCAAATTTTGAAAAAAGCTCTTGAAATTTTAAATTATGGATTTTGAATTTCATTATCCCAAAAGTATGGGAGGCGTTTGATTTTCCATGGCTTTCTTGGTTTGTGAATCTTCTTGATCAGTTCCGTTTGTACCATCGAGAAGGGGGTCGACCAGTACTCTCTGGGCGAGCAGATTCTCCCCACCATGAAGTCCTCTCTGTAAGTGTACGCTACTCAGCTCTACTCCTTTGGCAATTTGGCCTGTTTGATCGGACCTAGTTCCGAGGAGACCAAGAGGAAGCATTAGGGTATATATACCTCTTGGTCCGATCTTTGTATCTGATGCTTTGGAGTCTTGTGTCCCTGCGTGTTGACAATGGGCCCTAGCTAGTAAATTGTAGGCTCGTCTTTTGCGTTTGGAATGAGTTTTGAGCAAGCATGTACCAGATCAATTGGTGTGTTTCTAAAATTTGCGTGGAAATCAATACCTAGAGAGTACGTCATGACAAGGATGCCCCTGGTTTATTTGGATAGGTGAGGAGCAAAGATGATAAGGCATGAATTTGATTAAAAGCTTAAATGATGGTGTTTTTACAAGTCATTTAAGTATGAGTGAGGAGAAAAAAGACAAACCGCAGCTTTTACGTTTACACAAAACCAGTCCGTGTCAATGACGACCTTCTCTTCTCTAGCTGTACGTGAGTGCTTCCTTAGAAACCAACGTCAAAAACCAGGTTATGTTGAGATGGAAAACGTTGTGATACTTAGAACTAGCGCACTCAGTGTCTTATAAGTGACATGTCGTTCGATGTCTTTTAGATTGAGGCATTTTCTTCTCACAAATATGAGTTTTTCCAACCAGATGTGAATTCATGACTGTATGACATGTAAACTTATGACTTTAATCACAAAAGTCTCTAGAACGCTTACATATTTCTATTTATCTTATGTCAAAATCTTTTGTAATTTTGTACGAAGATATACAAAGAATCATACTAAAACATATAATTGTTTCAGTCTTGACTAAACTATTATTGCTTCAACAATCACACCTCTCATTAAATTAATTATGTCTTTTCATGTGAGCACTTGAAAGTTAATCATGTAAGTACTCAACTTGAACATTGTGCGAATAGCGAGTAGATGAGCACTTTAATGGAATCATGATCCATTCGCTTGATTCGGCTGTAATGTGAATAAAAATCAAATTCGAAACACCTGAATGATTTCTAGCGATGGGAGCAAGACAGATGTTATTAAAAAAAAATCTATAACTTGAGAGTAGTATGTGAGTGAAGGACAACGCTAAGAAAATAGTGAAATAATCGAGTGCAAATACTCAGCAAAATGAATCTGAAGAGAATAGTTTTAGTGCCCACAAGAGAATACTTAAAGAATGTTTGTAGTTTCATCGATTATATTCTCAAGGTATTCGAGTTACTTTGATGCAAGTCTTTGGTAGAGAATATTCTGAAATTTGAGAAGAGAATGACAATACATTCGATTATTTAAAATTTTTTTTTTCAAAGAATTTAAATAATAATAATAATAAATTACATGTTGAACTAAAAAATGTAGATTTTTTTTTGGAAAATAATGAATAATTAAAAGTGAATTCTACTGTAGTTACAATAGGTCGCTTCAATTTCCCACTAACTATGAGAAGTGTCGAGTACAGAATCATTAGGAGACATACACTGTTAGGGGAAAGTGTGGCTGCGAGTAATGCAGACTAACCCAAATGAGTATACAGGGGCGATTGACCGTCTGCCCAGTGAAGGAAATGGACTCCCCTGGACAGATATATTTCTCAGAGCTCACGAGTGCAGAAATTGTGAACGTTAGATTCAACCAGCAAAAGAACTGATTTTTTTAAGAGGATGATCGATGTAGAACATGAACTCTTTGATTTCAACTCCTCATGCGCTTTTTAAAATGCTCAGCAGTAAGTTCAAACTCTTCTTTACATACTCTATCCCTGGGGCGACTCTCTTTCTCTCTCTATTACCAACAGCAGTTTGGAATCATCCACAGGTGAAGCCCGCACCGTAAAGGCCCAGACGTTTCCCGTGGATAGCCGAAGGCTTCGGAAAAAGTCGACACTGTTATGAGTGTGGCAGTGAGCAGCATGCGAAGTGACACCCAAGTTTCCCACAGGACAGGACAAATTCTTGCCGTGGTTAAAAATGTCGACCTTCGACACGGACGGAGTTCTCGGCCTGCCTCATAAGATGGTGAAGAGACGCCCGTGTATAAATTAAAATCGGTTTGAATCTTCCCTGTAAATAATTTCCACATTCCCGTAAATATTGAGTCACAAGCCTGGGCAAGCTCAAAACTGCTCCAGATTTTTCATCGGTAACATGCAGACGCCGGTAGCAAAACAGATGAGTCTTCTTCGTGCCGAGACGTAAAGTGGTGAACAAGCTCTTATATTCATGTCCATACATTTCATCAGTCAAGGAAATCACATTTGCGTAAGCAGTGAGCCACAGAGACATCCCGTGACATTCTTTAGAAGCCAAAGAGCAATGCCAAAATTGTGCCAGCATCGGCTACCCTGGCGAAGCTGTCTTGGTTTGTCATCGGGCAGTGTACATGGGCGGCGTCGTTTAACTGACAGGAAAAAAAGTTGCTCGCAACAATCATGGACTCCGTAAACGTACATTACGATTGGTCCTAGAGCGATATTCGCACTAAAAGGATATACAAAACTTCTCTTTCAGTCATTCCACGATCACATTGACATCGTAACCATCTGGCTAGATCAGTGATCACTGAACCCACATGCTTCTGTCAAGCACTTGGGCAAGGAAGGCCGCTCATGTAAAGCCGAGAAAACTCTGCCTTTCCTTTTCCATATCCGCAGGCCTACAAATTCACGAAGAACTGATTGAACAAACCAGCGTCTCGGACATGAAAAAACAAAGAATCGGTTCCCCGGGTAAACTACCTACTGTTAACAAAAATCTATCTAAGCTATTCAGAGAGGAAAATGGCTGACAGTTTGCCATTATGACGAGTGCTTCGATTGGAAAGACTTCATTAGTGCAACCAGCTTCTCGACTCCAGCCTTCGGCATGGCATTGTAGATGGATGCCCTCACACCACCGACAGAACGATGTCCCTTCAATTGGACCATTCCCTGAGCAGCCGCCTCCTTAATAAACTCGGCTTCCAGCTCTGGAGTTTGCATGGTGAATGGAACATTCATCAGCGACCGCACAGATTTCTCCACAGGGCACTTGTAGAAGCCGTTACTTCCCTCGATTGCATCGTACAGCAAAGAAGCCTTCTCGATATTTCTCTCCTCGGCTGCTTCCAGACCGCCTTGAGCCAGAAGATCGTCGAACACAAGGCCACACACATAAATGGGGAAGCAAGGAGGAGTGTTGTACAAAGATTTGTTCTCGGCATGAATCTTGTAATCAAACATGGTGGGAGTTTGAGGTTGCGCATTTCCAAGCAAATCCTTCCGGATGATAACGATGACGACGCCAGCAGGACCAATATTCTTCTGCACACCTCCGTATATTATGCCAAACTTCGATACATCAACGGGCTTGGAACAAAAATTCGAGGACATATCGGCAACCAAAATTGCGTCACCGACATTGGGGTACTCTTTGAACTCAACGCCTTGAATCGTCTCATTTGCACAAATGTGCACGAACTTTGCCCCTGGAGTCAGCTTGATCTCGCTCTCTGAAGGAAGATTAGTATACTTGCCAGGCTTCCCAGTGAATGAGAGGTTAGCCTTACAGTACTTTTGAGCTTCCTTGTACGCCTTGTCTCCCCACGACCCAGTAACAATAAAGTCTGCTGTATCCTCCGGAGTACACAAATTCAGTGGAATGGCGGAAAATTGACTCGAGGCACCTCCTTGCAAGAACAAAACCTCGTAGTTCTCAGGAATTTTCAGAAGCGTCCTCAGATCAGCCTCCGCTTTCTGAATTATGGAAAGAAATTCCTTCCCACGGTGGCTCATTTCCATAACGCTCATGCCGCTACCCCTCCAGTTGAAGAGATCTGCTTGTGCCTGCTTGACCACATTAGCGGGCAGTGTCGCGGGACCGGCCGCGAAGTTATACACTCGCGCATCATTCGCGGTGTCGATGGACTTGGCGGAAGTCGATGCCGGCACCGTGGCCGTGCATCGGGTGACAAGAGATCCGGGAGCGGAACCTGATGCGCGAGTCTTCAAGCAGCTTGCCTTCAGCCTGGTCCCTCCGAAAGACGATCTCATCGCCACCGAAGGGGACTTCAAACTTCCCGCATTACACACGGGGACAGAGCTCAGAGCCATCGCTTCCTGCACCACACTCAAACTCACGGAGATAGCTGCCATTTCGTCGAGGACTCTCGGCGGAAGCGCTTGAACGTGCCTGTCAAAGAGAAGAGAGCTCAGAGAGCTCAGAGCAAGAGCGCAGAGACCTTCGAGGAGAAGATTCGCCACCAACACCGCTCTCCTTGAAGACCCCAAAAGAATTACCGCAAAATAAGGAAAGACCTAAATTCCATCTAAAAACAGAAACGCGAAAGTGAAGGTCGCACAGGGACGGGCACTGTGTGCGGTCCTGGAGACGACGAAGCACGGGGCCAAACGCCAGAAGCAAATCGACAGAATAAAGCGGTGGTTGTTGGAGTAAGGGACAATTCGTGGAAGCCAAATTCCAGCTATTTACCGCGTGCACGGAGGAGAAATCACGAGTTGAAGAGGATCCACCGGACGACCTTTAACGATGTCAAAGAACGCAGTTACAGAAGAGATATTCGACAAATATCGAGCACTCGGAAATCACAGCGAGCGGTAATCCAGGGCACACTAGGCGCGGGCAATTGTGCAGTACGGCTCTGTCTCTGAGCCCCGAACAAGTGTGATTTCAGTGACTGGGATCTTTCTCGCGATCTCTGCAACTTGCAACTGGCAACCTCCTGTCAACGGATCTGCCGCAATTGTCGCTTCTGCCTGCGCACGCGCGCTTTTGGCCCAGCATTTACAGCGCCCCCCTCAGGTGCGAAGCCGAGAATCTTCATAGAATATGCCCGTGGGCGGCACGGCCCACGAGGGCTGTGCGGTGGGTCGCAGACCCTCCCCGTCCCCGTGATGACCGAAATATTGAGAATTTCACATTTGGTTCTATATTCGACAACCCAAGAGCCCACATTGAGTATGCGGGCGAGTTGGACATACTGTATGCCCAATTCGCCTTGACGACAGAGCTCACATGAGATCGAATCCCGCACGCCGTTTAGCACTACTACCCAAGGCAAGCGTCAAGAATTTCAGGCACCAGCTCGATGAGAAAGGAACCGTTGTTATCCTGTGGCTTGGGAATTTGGACAGTGACAAATCGCTTAGCTCTTGGGAAGTGATACCCCTGAGGATCCGTCAGTTCTCCCCGGAGGAACCTTCTCAACACTGCATATGGCCTGTGGCCCTTTCATGCAGGGGATCTCACTGGTCATCTTCTTCATTCTTTTCGAAACGTTTTCGAGTGCCGAGGGTAGTTACAGCGGTGGATTCTGCCCGATTGCTTTGATGACGGTGAGCCGCAGTTTCGAGGTCAGCTTTTGAGGTCTTGGGCAGGCTGAGACACAGCACAGAGCAAGGATGGGCAACGGAGGTACTGTGATGCTCGACTGAGTGTGTAAGGTGTCATCTTTGAGCGAGCCAGCCGATCTTCCTAGTTCACCAGGCTCACCACGTGAGCCAGAGAATGGATACAGAACAGTCCCGCTCAGTGCTTTCAGACGATGGCGCTCAACTGACTGCCACATTTTAAGTTTGATGATACCCTGCTCACGTCGATCATTTAATGGCTTTAAAACGTGGTCTACGAACGAAAATCACTAATATGGGGTACAACCATAGTCAGGACTTCCTAAGGATTCTGTGGGTAGAGAGGTGGGCAGGCTCTAGCGAATTCACATGTTGCCACAACCTTTACCTCCCTGTGGACGATCAAACCGGGGGACAAAAAGCACGAACTGATGCCCATCCAAATCCATTTCAGGGTATTACAAAGCATTGTGTGAGAGAAGGCTCCAGTTCGAAGTTGCTTGCGTACAGAACACACAACGAAATGAGCCAAGGTCTTCAGTGAGGATGTGTTTTCAACCTTCGTTTGTTTCGCTCTCTGTGAATGCTGCCTTCTCCTGGACGGCTGGATGGAACACCAACAACAACAACGTACAATTCGCGAGATCCTCACAATGCATTTCGTAGTTCTCGCCCTGTTTGAGGACTGTAGTGCTACAGACCTAAACTTGCGATTGCGCTCACTCTCCTTACGGTCTAGACAGAGGCCTGGAGCAGAGACGACAGAAGAACTTCTCTTCACAAACTGCTAGAGCCTAAAAGTGGTCTGCTCTTTATTAAAAGTCGAAGTTTATCGACATCCGGGTTTACTAGTGCGTGGGCTAAAACCTCAATCCGGTTTCCAGGTGCCCCAGCCGACGGGTAAGGTGGGTAAAGTACCAATCGGATCAATCATAGAAGCCTACTTTCTATGATCGTGCTGGTACAGAAGCAGATCAAGATCGAAATTGTAAACTTCCTTTGAGGCCTCATTTCCAACAACTCAAAGTCAGCTTGCAAGGCACTGCAGTCCTAAATGACTTCAATAATTTTCAACCAAACTAGAATGCTACTTGCAGATTGCAGGAATAACAACACTATTGACAAAGCTGTAACTGAGCACTGAACACTGAGCTTCTCGGAACAATAACACCTCTGAGATAATGTAACGTCGATTCATTTGACGCATCTCATAACCAACTGCATTCCGTCCATCAATAATTTCGTGAAAACTGACGAGTACAAGCTCTACCCGTCGAGTACCCACTAACTAAAAACTCATGTCTTATATATTCATCCATAAGACAACAACGATATAATGGACGCAATCAAACACAAACGCATCATAAGCAAGATTTCGGAGCTAGGGGAAGCATTGTAAATGAAATCGTTTTGAAGAATGGAGAGAAGATTCTGACTCTGTTTCTCGTTTCATCATTAAAAATATGCCGCACAAAAACTCAGCACCAAGAATCTCAGTACAGTATTCACAGGACAATCTATGCAGTGAGGATGACGGCGCCTCCGGCATCCTTGATCTTCTTTTCGGCAAGTTTGGAGAAAAACTTCGCCTTGACCACCATAGGTTGCGTGGGGAGACCTCCCTTGCCAAGAACCTTGAAGTAGCCGTGTTGAGTAACATCTAACAATGGAGCGGCAGAGTCGCCGTTTGCTTTAGCCTTGATGTCCTCGGGGACCAAAGACCACAACTTGTCCACGTTCACGATAGGGCAGTGGAATTTGTTCATGGTCTTGTGGAAGTACCTCATACCGACCTTTCCGAAATATCCAGGATGCCACTTATCGAACAAAATTCGGTGGTGGTGCATACCTCCGGCATTTCCTCGACCTCCGGGATGCTTTCGGTGCTTGCCGACTCTTCCATGTCCAGCACTAACGTGACCTCTCTTCTTCCTGTTCTTTTTCAGTCTCGTCGTCATCGTGCCCGCCGCGACTCAAATTCGACCCACCGACGAGAAGCAAAATCCTTCAGCTGCGCAACCGCAGCGAACCTCAGGGAGAGAGAAAGAGAAGCTCTGCAGCTCCGATCTGCGTCTAGTCGCTGGGCTCCCTCTCCGCGTCAATCCAGCCGGCGTTAGGGTTTCTCCCTAGGGCCAACGTGGCAGTGGCACAGACCGCTCCATTCCGAGTCTCCCTCAAGAAGCTTACAAATTAGAGAAGCTATTGCCCAAATCTGCAGCCTTCAGCACACACATAATTGTACCCATCTAAGGGAAGTCGGAAATATTTCTCGCGGAATATTTCTCGGAAGAATAGTGGTTTGACTAAATTGCAAGAAGATATGGTCTAGGTTGGGATCCACCCACATATATTTCTCCACATAACCTTCTCCAACTCATACTACACCAGCAGAAGTGAGACGCGGCATACAAAAATAACCGAAAAACTCAATCATTCGAAAGCAAATAGTAGACGGACCGCTTGCATTCAGTACATCAAATGGACCCTTGTATTTTTATAGATGAGAAACAAACAATCCAGTTTTTTTTAGGATATGAGAAGAAGAAAAGCCAAGAAGAAGCTTCACCTGCAGTATTTATGTTCGGTAAGAAATTAAGGGAGGAAAATATAACAGGACTAAAAGCCGCGCGGATGCAGCTCGTTCTTTATGTCTTAATATATTTTTATGAACATAAAACAAACTTTTGCATCCGTATGACAGTTATATGAATTTTAAATTTAACGTCCAATTTTTCTCTTGTAAATGTTATGGTACATTGACAGATGACGGAAACTTATTCCATTATGTGGCATGTCATATTAAGATACTTCATCTCATTATCATGCAAGCGCATACTGATGAGAGAAATTTCAAGCTTACTTTTGCTAAATTGAAATAGTCAAATTTTGAAAAATATGTCTTCTAAACGACTTAAACGGATAATGCATCTTTAGAACACGAACTTAACGACATTAGATCAAAGATCATAGACACATGACAACATATCCAACAATTGAAAATAATTGCCAAACCTCATAGATTGTAAATCAAACAACATTCTCAACTTACAACAAAACACATTTACATCTTTAGTTTCATGTCTAACGCAAATGGCTTCACAAGACTTATGATCACTTCGCCAATCACACAACTCTTGCTAACAACAATTAAATCTCACACCATCCAACAACAACCATTGATGACTTAGTAGATGACATGTTGGGTATAGATAGACTAATTACAACCCTTGGTATGCTTCTCACAGTACCTTGTGAAATTAACACATACTAGAAAATATAACACTTAACTGAACTCCCAATATATCAAAATGTGATTACTTCAAATTTTTTTCCTATAATCGATGACATCCCCATAAATCTGTAACTGATTTGTTGGTTCCTAGTCAGACATATCAATTGGGATGATGAGTTGGAGTTGGAACGAACTTATCATCCCAATCGGCCTCCAAAACACAAACCTGCATGGTTATGGAAGACTTTCAGCACTGACTAGAAGATACATCATCCTCAATTTAATTCTCGAGTAAACACGATTATATTTCAAAAACCATATTTACATTTAACAGATAAAAAATTGACTTTGCAAATCATTTATGAAACTCAAACATTGAAAGAGATGTAAACTGACCTCTCTTTTCTCAACGAGACGGAAGTAAGTACACGGAGTAACGCGGGGTCTAGCAAACGATCATCTCCACGTGATTTAGCTGTAGAGCGTTCATGGTCACTAGTCCGAAGGAGTTGGACATGGTCGGCATGTTCGGCTAACACAAGCAATTTGAGAGCGCTATACAGAACTTGTCTATCTCGAGGTCACCTGAAGCCATAGCAGTCCATCTGACGCTTGTACAGAACAAAGGCCAACACTTTACTTCAAATCTGGACCCAAACCAGACCATAACCATCAGCAGCGACCTATGCCCACCCATGCTATTCAAATTACGCCATGTGTTATGTGTATTACCCGGTTACACCAATTCTTGGCTGGACCCAATAAACACTCCCCACAGCATTACTTGTGGCCACCATGCCCACCCTTGGAAAAATAATATCACCCAAAACCCATGGGCAAGGGTGGGTTTGGGCATGGGTATGGGCATCCCATGTTGGGCTCTGGTACAAAAGTATCGCTTGATTAATTATTCATACGACGTCATATCGATCAAGGGTAACGTTCATGGTATTCGAGACACCAGAACTCATGAAAATGGGACGGGAGTGCTTGTGTCGTGAATGAAACCTAGGGTGACAAGCTGAAGTTGACCGAGGAATTCGTAAATGTTGTTTATGGTGGTTTCAGCTACAGAGCATTTGCATCGAGCCTGTGTGCCAATTGGGCCTTCGCCGATGTCTACTGAAGCTGCCGAGCTCTCGAGAGTCACCACGTGAGTCATGCTCACAGAAACATCAGGGTTACTGCAAAGTCATCAACCTGTCTTATTCCATGATGGCAGGCATAAGGGAATCATCGTTTGAAGTTCTGTCAAGAATTCTAGCGCACTACACGACGTCGAGCGATTGTTTGTCGGAACACCTCTAACGAGACTGGGCCCTGTGATTAGACAGGCATGGAGGGATGCACGTGACTTCGATTAGAGGTGTTCGGTTCCTCCAAGCCCACGGAGCGGGGTTGAGCTCATCCTCAAGAAGTGAACGAAAAGTAGACGTGAATGAGTTTGGAGAGATATTACTCCGCTCGCAAATCCGTACGAAAGCTTCATCGTCCGCTGCCCAAACCAATGTGGTGTCGGTCAGTCTCCTCGACTACGACCGCGCCGGACTTGATTTCTTACAAAACATGCAGAATTTTCTGGTTTCCTGGTGCGATCAGCCCCTGCGCAGATGAACGAATCTCGACTGTTGTGGTTTAGGAATCTCCGACAAACAACGCCGGAGATGAGGTCTCGGACGTTGGTGGATCCCTTCAGCAGATCACTTGACAGATTCTGAGTACGCTCGATCCAAAGCGCGTGGAGAAAGGTCGTGACTTGGGGGACATCCAACTTTAACAAATGAGCAGGAGTGGAGGACTTTTCGTGTTGTCCCTTCAGATCAGTTGCGGGATTTCGCATCAGGAACGATATCCCTAATCAAAGCCTGTCTATGGCCGACTTTGTTCGACTTCCATAATTTTTTTTGGAAGCGCTACTGAAGTCTCGCGGTGTACATCCTGTCCTACTTAGAGGAGCTCGTCGATTTGGTGCCTGGCAGCTTGTGATGTACTGCCTTACCAGCATTCGTAGTCAGACTAATTCGGAGGATGCAGCAGGGCTCGAGCGAAGTGCGATTGCGGACGAGTTTAACACTCAGCTTGCAAGGCTTCATCTTCTGGAAAGGACCAGTTTGGTGTTCCCAGCTCAGCTGTGAGTAGAAGCGGACCGTGGATCCGGGCGTCTGTTTTTATCCAGTGACAAAGATGACATGAGCTTCAGATCTCTCGAGGAGATCGATGTTTCCTGTCAGAGTTCGTGCGAATTCAAGCTTCGAGGTTTCAAGAAAAACCTTGCCCGACTCGTAAGGCTCGCCAGACGATACGAAATCAGGGCTTTGACGGCTGCTGACGAATTTGAGTGGCTGACGATCGAGTTTGCTAGCTTTCATCCAGATCGGAGTCGATAAGGGAAAGGTAGGAGATGGAAGGAGGGCTGGTGATCGAAAAGGAGCAGATTCGGTCGATCCTCTCCTACTCAGCGCTGGTGGACAAGCTGCAAGAGGCGTTCGGCAACGCGCGCAGCTACACCATGCCCGAGCGACATCACCACGACATCCACGCGAGGGCCGGGGGCAGGCTGCTGATCATGCCGGCGTGGTCAGCAGACTGGGGGCCCAAAGCGTACATCGGGACCAAGCTCGTCACGGTGTTTCCGAAGAACGCCAACCAGGGCCTGGCGTCGGTGCTCGGAGTGTACGTGCTGGCGAGCGGGGACACGGGGCGACCCCTAGCGCTGATGAATGGCACGGAGCTGACCCTGTGGAGGACGGCGTGCGTGTCCGCGCTGGCAGCCCGGTATTTGGCACGGGCCGAGCCTCGGCTCATGGTCATGGTCGGAGCGGGGGCCTTAGCCCCGCACCTGATCCAAGCCCACATCGCCGTCCACCCGTCGATCGACACGATCATCGTCTGGAACCGCACGCACGACCGGGCCACGGAGCTGGTCGAGGCGCTGAGGAGGCTGCCGTTGTTCTCCGAGTCGTTCAGGTCCGTGCATACGAGGAAGGACTTGGAGGACATCGTCCGCGCCGCGGACCTGGTGGTGTGCGCTACCATGGCCGACGAGGCTCTGGTTCGGGGCCGCTGGCTCAAGGCTGGCGTCCACGTCAGCCTGGTGGGTTCTTTCAAGCCCTCCATGAGGGAATGCGACGACGACGCCGTGACGCGGAGCCGAGTTTTCGTCGACGCGGACGCGGCCGTCTGCGACGCCGGCGAGCTGAGTGGTCCTATCGCCCGCGGCGTCGTCTCGAAGGCCCACGTCGTCGGCGACTTGGCGGCGTTGGTGCGCTCCGACGTCGACGGGCGACGGTCCCCCGACGACGTTACGCTCTTCAAATCCGTGGGCTGCGCTCTCGAGGACCTCGCGGCGGCCCAACTCATTTACGAAACGGCCGTCTCGTCCCCTCCGCCGTGCTCCCCCTCTCCCTTCCCGTCCTCCACATTCGTCCCTCGCTCGGCCCGATCCGACCAGCCGACACCTCCCACTCCGACCCCGAACGAAATCCAGTGTCCTCCCGAGGAAAGTTAGTAGGCGCCCTGCGAAGGAGGTGGCTTAGATCAGTTCTTCATCTTTCGGTGTCCTGTGCCAGTGGTCGATAGAAAGGTCGAGGGAGAAGGGAAAGTTGCCTCCACGAGCGAAGGATGGTGAGCTAGTGATTGAGAGAATGGGTGCTTCGAGAAAGGGAAAGGTGGTAGGGAGGGAAGAGAAGCCGCCTATTTGCAGGTGGAGATATGGGTGCTGTGGTTACGAGCACGTGCGACTGCGATCGCCTGGACTAGCGTACCAGGTTTGGATGTTGTAATGAAATGCTCAATACTTGAAAAGTCTTGGATTGTATGAATGCAGCGTGACACATTCACAGCTCTGGCTCTATCTAGGTAGGCCAGAGCTGTGCATGTGTCACTACTTGGTATGTGCCTTGGCCCCTGCTCACAGATGACGGATTTCTGTGCCCGCGCAGATTTTTCTCTCGCTCTCTCTTGTGGCAAAGCTTGGATAAGTCTTGAGTATCGTTGATTAGCCATTAATCTCAGGTGGACTGATTCACTCCATCTTGTGTTGAATGGAATCATGTCGGTCAATGATTGAATGTGCCCCATCGAAGTAACACAAATGCTCTTAATAGTCGTGCAAGTGCAGAGCTAGCCCCACAAATTTGGAGATACTGATGTTGGGCCCTCTGTGATCCTTCATCGCGGAAGCGAGAAAGACCTAAACGGAAGTAACCGCGCACCCAAAACGTCGATTAATGCACGAAGCTAAGTGACAGTGATAATGATGCCTTTGTAATCGGCATGACTTGCTTGATCATATCATCACGCCGCAACATCTCTAGTAAACCTCTAGACTATCGGCTTTTACGCAGAGCAACGCAAAGTTATCCGGACGAGAATTGGAAAGCTAAGTCGAGCAATCCCTCCGTTCATCGTGATAGAGGAGGAAAATATTGTTCGGCATTTTGTGATTTGCATCAACTTTCAAATCATCGTATAGGCCCTTTGCAAGAACTCACTCGGAGCTGAATGACGATTTTTTGCACCGTTGAATCCTTACTCGTGGTAAGAGTTGTACACGTCCACTGCCGCAGTGTTTATTAAAGCCAGTAGCTTTCGGGGGTTCAAGACGAAAAGGGTGACGTCAATGGTCAAACGGAGCTCATGTAACGTGTCCTAATTAGCGTAAACTCTCACGATATTGTAGGGTTATATTCATGAGCGAGAGGTGATCTGCATTGTGAGCATTTTTTGTTGTAGACGACTCAATACTACTAGTACTTTGAGCTCTATCGATTTTGCGCCAGCGGGGCCCATATCAAACCGCGCCAGTGCCAAATTACAAGTTCAACAATAACGTAGGGAATTCAATAGATCGACAAATAGAAGGATGGAAGTGGAACTCAACTTGTACACTGATGGACGCTGATTCGAACACTTCGAGCTTACAGGAACCATCTTGTGAAAACAAGGAGTCGAACGCAGGGCTGATGATAAGTCTTATCGCGTTCAAAACTCAACGCTGTAGCGGCCCATCAACCGAGACATATCCCTCTCTACACACAATACCGTAGGCGGTCCCGGACACGAGTTGACCTCAGAACAAAACAATTGTGTGCAATGGGATATGACTTACACCCTGATTACGAGTGTGGGCCCGCTTAAAGGGTAAAGCGGGCCATTAGCCACCAGCTGGTACTCTCAAATCTGCCCTGTATCCATGCAACATGTGATACTCAATACTTCCCTGCGCTGTAGAACGAAATCGTATAGCAAAACACGAATTGCAGGAAAATTCTTCCGTAGCTGCTGCCATAGATTGCTTAGTTCTTGGACCAATGTCTTAAGCTCGCTGAACCTCAGACTCGACCCAATCTCTTCTTTTTCTTGAGCCTCATGCGAATCAACTCCCCTTCCGCCATGGCACAGAATCTTGTCAGGTCTCCATTGGGCACGGTGCCAGCCATAGGTGTACAATTTGCAGTTCGTCAGTCGTCATGCCAGCCCGTAAGAAGGAAGATGGTGTGCGAAGCTGCTTCGAGTCAGCGTGTGAGCTTCAAAGGTAGCGTGGACACGGACCTGCCATTGCGGGAAATAAAAAATGTGAGTACCTTTGTGGGAGGGCTTTGGGAGCTCAAGTGCCGGAGAATTTGAACATTGACGAGTGTGATTGGTTCTTAGGGGATATTGGTGCTATGTGATTGCAGGTACCATTTGAGCAGTACATGAGCGCGGATGATAGAATCTTTAATGCTCTGTTTCCGGACAAACAACGCCGTCAAAGACTTAGTGAGGTACGCGGGTAGACTCCTTTCCCTAATTTCTGGGCACATCTTGAATTGTTTCTGGACCAGTTGCGTGGATCACTGAATTGACATGATGAATGTGCAACTTCAGGAGGAGTGGCGAATCTTCATGCTGCCCCTTCAGTTCTTCTATCTCTCAGTCAGACCAGTTGTGGACATGCGTGTCAAGTTACAAGATCCCAGAACAAAGCCTGCCAATGGCAAAAGTGTGTCGAAGTTAATCACTTTAGAAGCGGTACCAGGGCTCTCCATCTCATCTCATTTTCTGGAACTTTGTCATTTGATGAAGAGCATTTGGATTTGTTAGCTCGTGATTAAGTTTGTAGCCTTCTCTGCTCATCAGACGAGGTGGGAGCTGCGAGGGCTTGAGTACACCGTCAATCCGGAAGAATTCGAATTGGGGATCGCAGGGTCTTTGTATCCTGAAAGAGGCCAGTTTGGTTCCAGGCTCAAAGGTCAGATGAAGCTGACAGTGGATCTGGCAATTCCTTCTTCTCTGGCTCTCATGCCTTCAGCAGTCATGGAGAGTATTGGCACTGCGGTACGTTATTCACACCCCAATGTCCACAGTGACCGGCATTGTTTATGCTCAGCAAGGCAGTGAATTTCAGAATTTGGAAAGCTGATATACGAGACATTTTGAATCTCATGCAACTTTCTCCTCCCTCCGTCTAGAAGAACTGTGAACTCGCCATGTCTACACGAGAAATCACGTGTGCCTTCTATCACGTGATTTGTATCAGTGTCAAATGAATTCAACTCGTAGTACCAGACCGCTGAACGCATTTCGCCTCTAATATTGTCATCTGGAGACTGTTGACCTCTCTATCAAGTCACTGGCCAGCCGCTCCTGATCAAATTCCGCTCAACATGTTCATATTTTTGACTCCCATAGATAATCTACGTTCTTGTCTTCCAGTTCCGGGAATTAGCTATCTTCTTCATCACCTCAAGTTCATCAAATTTAGGGGATTATGTAACGGACTCATCGCTTAGTGTTGTGCAGGTTATAAACCAATTGTTAGAAGACATGAAGACGAGAGTAAACACAAGGCTCCTGGAAGACTACCGAGACTATGCCATACAGCAACAGCGTATAAAAAAAGTATCTTCAGCTTGAGGGTCTCACATTTCCCCGAGAGAAACGAAGAGAACACGGAGGGGAGAGAACTCGGAGGATCTGTATAAAGAAATTACCTTAATGAAACTGATTAGAAACCTGCTAATGTATATAAAATATTGTAGATGATAGTTTCTGTGTCGGTGTAAAAGTGTATCTTGAGACAATATATTCAGAATTTTCTTCATGACTTACACACGAGTAACTTTTGGGAAATACCATCTTCTGTTGAAGTTTTCAATTGGATATAGTGAAGAAGATCCACGGCTCAAATGCTGACTGCCAGAGAAAATTGCACTGATTGCAATGCTTCCTGAAGTCTTGAGGCAAGATGTTCACGATAAGGACGATTTCGTGGCGTAACAGGAAAGCACATGCTTCAAGGATGCCAGCACGTGCACTCGTCAAGGACTCTGACTCTGAACCAGTTACTATCAGTTAAGCAGCGAACAGGGTGGGGGCTTGGGACGGGGAGGATTATGCACGGTTTATTCAACGTTGAGTATAGCCTCTGGAAACTTTTATATTATCGGTAGATTTCGAGCCTTCCTGGGTACCTTCATGGTTTATAAGTGACCCCACTCTTGGAGTCTGTTCGTTTACTTCCTTGTCGACTGGAAATTTGTTGCTTCAAATACGCACTGGCTCGTGTTGCCCTTCCTTCAACTTGCGGCGGAAAAGGTTTTGCATTGAACTGTGCTGCTCAAAGCTCTCACTAGCGTCGGACGGAATACATTGGATTAACTTTCTCCAAGCTTCACTCAAGTAGGTTACAGTTCTTACAGCTCGCAACACTTCTAATCATCTTTGTGATGTGCAGATTACAGTTGGGTTCGATCTCGCTCTTAAATATATATGACACTGCTGCCCCATTGGCTGGTGTTAGTCTACGCTTGCACCCGTCATCTTCGAAATCCCTTGCGATTCTTACAGTGATCATGGTGGTCTTACCTCTGTTACAGCAGCTAATTCTGTACAAACTTAGAACATTGTCACTTCAAGAATCCTTATCAGTCCTCGACACACCGGACAGGTCGCCAAGCACCTGAAGCCTAGTCACACACAACCGTAAGGAGTACATCAAGTCATGAGAAGCAACAATCATATGCCATACTTCTCAAATCGAACATGTTCTCTGCATCAGAACGTTCCCACTGCAAATGGTTTCAGTGCAGTACCCTTCTTTTCCATCGGAGGTTCAGCTTGAACTCTAGGATCGAAAACCATGGACCTGACACGATCATGTACACTACTAGTCGCCTTTTAGATCGCCGATCACTTGTTTGGGTGCTTCTTATTCAGACAGTAGAAACAGTCTTCAGTAGCACGAGAAATCTTCGCTGCAGTGCCGCTGCAGTGCCAGGGGTGGGACCAGATCCCTTGAGAAGTTCGGGCAAAAAAAAATCCTTCTACGAAAATTCTCCTTACAATACAAACTTGCCCTCGCATCTGAACCCATCTTGAGCCTCAGCCACAATGACTGCATCATTCACCTCGCTGTGAGATAAATTTCATATGCAATCCTGGTGCGGTTGCTTGAATGTTCGTTGATGTGTACACTACTTTTAATTCGAAGAAATAAGTGACCATGATGTTTGATCTTCGCGGTGTCATGTTGCGAAGAATACGTAGATTAAAGTTTCGTTGCGAAGAACTCTCAGATTGAAGAGTTGTAGTGCGACAAAGGACAATGATAGATTATCATACCTCTCAACATAAAATGGACTTTTGTTTCAGTAATTTTGTATAATATCAAAAGGCAGAGAATAGAGTGTATCACTGAACAACATTTATTTGGCATCCGTATCACATATATAAATTGCGTAATCACATTGCCTCAATCATCTAAAACATGAAATGCAGTGATCAATTACACTCAGGTATTGAATAAAATAAAAGCTTGTATTTTCTCATAAATAGATTCTTATCGAGTTACATGTTTTGAAGACCAAATATGTTACTTGATTTGAAGACATGTTTTCATCTACACTATCAATAATCTTCACTCTCCAAGGCATAAATTTGTATGGCTTATCCAATTATAATGTAATAAGTGGATTTTTAAATATGTCTATCGTTCACTAATTAATGATGAAAGGATGAAAAGACATATTCAAAGTATAAACTTTTTTTCAAATTTTAACCTTGTTAACTGTTGATTTGGAGATTTTGGAGTGAGAACAAGTTTACATAAGTCTTTTAAATGTCCAAATTCTTGCTACAAATTGTTCTCAACGGAAGTATGTAATAGTGGCTGTAAGTATACTTTTATCGTAAGGAGGTTTTCTCAAGACTAGAGGAGTAGTGTCTGCATTTACGCAATCGCGTTATCTCCCGGCAACGATACTGTGGTCCCTCTTGCGTTCCCTCACTAGCTACTGAAAGCATTGGCCCTGCCAGGCATTGACACTACGTAAACACGAGCATGTTCGTTCTGGGATTTGCTCATCGCGCAGTAAGGAAAGGCTACTTCGTTTGTGACTTAGAAAATGACGACTGATCTATAGACATTTAGAGCGGGGAGCACAATTTGATCAGAGTTCCGACCTTGTAATGGTTCACATTACAGGTGCAAATGTAGCTGAAGAATGATGTGGCAATCGGAGGCTGTAAAATAATGCATATCTTCGGAGTTAACCCTCAGTTTTGATGGACGTAATTGGTTCCAAAGTGATACGAGTATGGTCCTTCTGGCTGTCTTTCGCCTGGAGCGGTGACAGCAAGCTCAAATCTCAGGTCGACTCCGAAAGTGGCTCCTTGGATTAGATAACTGGAGTGTGATAACTAGGACAATCACCTCCGTAGACCGCATTGTCAACACGGACTCATTTAGTGAGCTGAATGTTGTCTGTTTTCATGAGTTAATATGTCTGATCGAAGCTGAGACGTTCCTTGAGTTCCATGCATATGCCTTTTTGGTTCTGACGAGAATCAAACAGTATCTGGAGAGATGTCATAGCGTGCTTTGAGGCGGGGCGTTCCAGGCATCGCTTATGAGATCTCCAACTAACTTTTGGAAGTTTGCCATTTCCAACATAGGCAAGGGCAGCTTATCTTCGTCATCGTCAAACCTCACATTTCTGCTGTATGTTCCACACACGGGCACGTCATCCTTCCATAATCCTTCGTACTTGGATTCCTTATCTTTATAGTAAAACACTCCAAGACCGTGCTTTAAGTCATCAATCCAGTGGCCTTGATAGACATTTCCATTAACTGCGGTAAATACAAACGTGTCACTTTGTGATAAAAAATAAGAGAATACTTCCAACAACAAAAAAGACGATACTCGCTGAAATAGTCCTCGTACTTGTATGAAGCCAGAGATCTTGAAATCTAAAGAGATGCTTGCACATGCTTGACTTCTACAGCTTGAAATGAGAGAGAACCGCTCGGGAACAAGTGCTCTCAAGATATGTTTGTGAGTAGAATGTGCCGTTTGATCAAAGTAACCACGAGATGATAGGCAAATAAGAACGCGGACTGACCGAGGAAAGACTCTCCAAGGTGGATAATTATAAGGGCCAAAACGTACCTGGATACTGACGACGAAAACAAGCAGGCAACCTTACAGAAACGATAAGCTAAAACATGAACCTACATGTCAGAAGGCCTCGACGGTATACATCTGTGACTCCAGAAGTAGTTCGCTAAATTGAAATTGCAATGAAGGACATGGAGATAGCAGGTCATGCTCACCTAAGGTAAGAGTACCGACACCATTCCGCTTATCATTTGCCCACTCGCCGTAATAGACATGATATACTTCTTTCTCGGACTCCCAGTGCCTGTAAATCTGCTTTCCGAGTCCAGATCTCTTGCCCTTTTCAAAGTAGCCGTCGTATCTTTCTCCACACAGTCCATAAAGAAGTCCTGGCCCCTGCGTATAAGAAACAACGCTTACAGTTTATGTCTATTCAATACATCAGTAGTCATTTGACAAACAGCAGCCGAGTATACTTGTATACTCGGCTTACTCAGATTGCTTGAAGGTCTCGACCTTCAAGCAATCTGAAGCTAGAAACTTAACTTACACAGATTCAAATGCCGGTGGTATAGAGAGTCGACAGTAATGTCTACTGAGAGCAGATAATTGCTTGGATTGTTCTTCATCTTTCTGTACAGAAAGATGAAGAACACTAGGATGCAAAACAGAAGTAATACCACTCGCTTATTGAGGGAGTTCGTCTCCTGTGGCGAGAACAGTCAAGAGGAACAGAAAACAGCAGTAAAAAACTTAATGCATTGATGGCTTACATGCCACAGATTATTCTTCCAATGGCCTCTGTACGTAGGACGATATCTGTTGCCATCTATGACCCAAAAGGTTCCAAGACCTTCCCGTTTCCCGTTTTTAAACTCTCCCTCGTACCGATTTCCACTTTTGTAGAAGTGTATACCCCGTCCTGCACACATTCACAGCCAACAGCTACAAAACAAGGCGTTTTTCATCGACAAAAGCGAATGACCGCCTTCTCTAGAAATAGATATTCTGGCAAACAAATGCAGCATTAAGCAGAGGCTTCAGAAAAACGGACGAGAGAGACATGCTGAAAGCTCGCCATGATCTTTAAGCGCAAGAAAAAAAAGCACATTACGCACCATCTCTCTTGTTATTGCTCCACTCTCCTTTGTATAGGTCGCCAGTGACGAAGAAAACACAAGGTCTGTAACCTTCTTTCTTCGAAATTCGGTCTTTAAACTCCGACAGCTTTTCCCCGGGAAATTGCTGATTTGCCCCGGGCCAAATTAGTTGAGGCGAAGCACTGTCCATCTAGGTCGACCGATGGTATCTAAATAACTCACATCTGTGACATACAACTTAAAACGACAATTCAGAACCAAGTGAATGTGGATATCTGATATCAAACCTTCACAAACCAGAAACACACTAAGAATATCTTCCGTAAGAAGCATTGTAACTCCCTGCTCTCGTACTTCTCGGTTGCTCGAACAAGCATGACTCTAGAGCTGGAATAAGCATGACTCGACAACCGCCGAAGGTTCAAGCCTCGAGAAGAATCAACAAGAAGTAAATTTCTCATGAAACAAGCAGACACTCGGAAAGAGAAGAAGAGCAAATTCCAGACAGCATCAACAGGAAGGCGAAGACAAGCGAAGCGAAGAGTGCGGATGCAGGGAGTCATTCCAACGGGTTCGGGGACACGCAAATGGCTCCCAGCACGCACCAAATCTGAAGCGATTCAAGTCACCCTTCGATCGCCGTACATTTCAGCGTGAATCACCATCATGAATCGATTTGAATCTGAGAGATGGCGTGGGAATCCCAATTCGTGGTATTGTGCTGGAAATCATAGACCTTGAAATCTTTTCCGTTGCTCCTTGACTGACTGCGATGTTAAATCGTCTTCACAATCATGGCACAGAGTGCAATTTTGCAAAAGTACAAACGCGCTTTTCGATGTCATTTCGTGTTTCGTCTGCAACACCAGTCAACATTCATTCATTCTCGGGGAAGAAACTTGTCAGAGGCCAATCTCATTTTTCTCCCACATTCATTGCAGGGCAAGGTGTCGCAGAATCAACCTTAACAATGCCATCTCTACAGAGAAGTCAAGCAAGCTCGCGTTCGATTTCTAATTCCAATTTGTTAACGCTATGAAGTGTCTTTCTTAACGCTGTGTATATGATTGCTTGTACGTCCATGGGATGATTAATACAAATACGCTTTCCCGTTACGAATTTGCTAGAAAACTGGTAATTCACGATTAACGTAGACAGAACCATAATTTTAGGTTAACTTATGAGTCCATTTCTTCGCCATCCCAACGAGCGAAGTCAAAGTTTCACATCTTGTACTGGCAGTGTATAGACCGGATACATGGTAGCGGTAAGGTTGACCTTCATAATATGAACATACCTCCTCCATAAGACAGTCAGACAAAGAGCTGTGAAGAACACACTGCATAACTTGCCCCATGCATCATGGATCTAGTTCAGAGAGAATGATCCGAGGGGAAAAATCAACAGGCAGGCAAAAGATTTGGAAGCCCTTCTCTGGTATCAGAGCGAGGTTTCGATCCTCGGACCTGTGGGTTATGGGCCCACCACGCTTCCGCTGCGCCACTCTGATGGATGTCATCGAAGTTTCCTTGTATTTATTTATTCTTTAGTTTTTTTAAACTGCTTGTTTTTAGAGCATTTACAGGAAGGATTTTTGACACGTGGCGTCACGATCGTTGAGTTTAGATCTTGAATTTTGAAAACACTGGGTTTTGAATTTAGAGGGGTTTATTCGGATGCAGTGAAATTGTCCGCTTGTGCAAACTAGCAACTCGAGGCTCTGCTGCTCTGATCGTCTGGTTTTATCTGGCTTCTAAATCACCGGCACATGAGTCCTAATCAGGAGCGGAGACAGACCCTGACTCAATCCATGACACACTATGCAAGAATCATTGCATCGTATCAGAGCTTATTGCTAACAGTTGATCAAAAGTTGTGCTTTGGCTCTACGTTCAAGTTTGCAAGACTGGGATAGGTGATAGTGGTCTGTAACCTGTCCATTTTTTTTCCATAGATTCATCCAGTGATGCTTTCTATTGGCGCGAGCATGGACTGTGGAGAAAGCGTGTACCCATTGGAACAGACTGCATTTAATCACAACATGTATTGCTTATTTTGGCAGTAATTTTTTATTGATAATCGTAAAAAATCTAGTAGTGTCTGCCATATAAGTTTGGAGAAATTTGGTTGATGGTATCCAATGCGTTCCATTTTACCCGATGGGACCCGTCGGAGGGTCACTGTCAGTTATGTTCTTGTAACTACCTTGTTTCCACTTCAATGAAAAAAATAAGTTTTTCCCGAATTTAAGTTAGTCAGATTTCCCATGGCTCCCAGTTTTCATCGTGCAAGAGCCCAATTTCTCAAAATGATTTTAGAGTTATAATGTATGGGCGAAATCTACTTACTCCTTACTATTTTTTCTAAAACTCAAAATGATTTTACAGTTATAATGTATGGGCGAAATCTATTTACTCCTTACTATTTTTTCTAAAACTTTTCGCCGTATTGTGGTCCCTGAAGTGACTTGGGGGAACAAGTCACTTTTCAACAAAGAGCCGCAGTGCTATTCTTAACCGGGTTGAAAACAATTACAAGAACTCGCAGTAGAACATGAGTGACGATATACTGATCTGCCGTAGTCAGTGAGCCTTCTGATGGGGTGCATCAAGCAAATTTCTCTATAATTTTGTGGAAACGATTAAATATATCAGAAAGTAAAACAAGAGCAATGCATGAAGGGTCGAGACACAGATACTGAATCCTGAGAGAAGCTCTTAGTTGTTGTTTTACATAGTACCCGGATTGGATTGAAGTAGCCAATCCGAGGTGACAAGAGAAACCGGCATTTACACCTCCGTAGTGGGAAGGGTAGTGGTGTCTAATGATTACAAGCACACCTCAATAGTAGTGGGCTCCAGTCTAACTATAATTACACCTCAATAGTAGTGGGCTCCAGTCTAACTTTAATTACACAAGAAGTAACGACATAAGGAATAGGGAGTAATCAGACACTCCCACTTACTACCTACTTACTTCTCTCTTCCTCATTTCCAACTAACAAACCTAAATTCTGATTATGACAACAATGCTAATGGCATCACAACATGTGTTGCTTATTTTAGCAGTAATTTTCAATTGATAATCGAAAAAATCTAGTAGGTCTGCCATATAAGTTTGTGGAAACGATTAAACAATACATTGCGTGTGCATTGCATAGGTCTTCCCAAAGGAATGACAAGGAATCCTGTTTTTTCCATTGTACGACATATATCAGATAGATAACATAGATAATTTGTGATTAGAATAAAATTTGTGATTTGCCCGATGATCGCTTGTTAGAGCCTCATGCCATTGGGATATACAAGAGCCAGATGAATTTTGGTAACTGTAACGTGACTGGGTAGCAGAGGCCAACATTTCACTTAAAATCTGCACCCAGACCAGACCATAACCATCAGCAGCAACCTAACCCCACCCATGCTATGCAAATTACGCCAATTCTTGGTTCGGTCTTGACAAATACTGTCCTTAGCATTACTTGTGCCCACCCATGGAAAAATAATGTCACCCCAAACCCACCCAAACCCCCTGGGCATGGGTATGGCACCCAATGTTGGGCTCTGCTGGGTAGAGCTCCATGTTATCGCCTGGTTGAGCACTCGTCGGGGGTTCCATGGGTTTTGTTACTCCACCTCGAAGAACAGGAAATCCTCTTGGCCCGACACAAAGTCCCACGACGGAACACCCGAAAGGAACTCTCGTCCAGGCCCCAAGCAGCGACATCACATTGCCCTGTCCGGACATTGACACAAGCCTCGCCTGCGCCGTACAAAGATCGAACACGCGCCGTATATGTGAATCGAGGCAGAGATGGAATTCTTCGTTGGGGAATGAAATGATCATGGAATGGAATGAGATGGAATGGGAATGGAATGAGATGGAATTGGGGATGGGGTTCAGGGCAGCTGCCTCTGCTCGATTCGGGCCCGGGAACACGTGCGAGCGCGACCCGTCGGCCTTCCGGAGATGAAACACAAGGTCTGTGACTTTTTTTCAAGAAAGAAGGTTACAGACCTTGTGTTTTCTTCGTCACTGACGACCTATACAAAGGAGAGTGGAGCAAGAACAAGAGAGATGGTGCGTATTGTGTTTTTTTTCTTGCGCTTAGAGATCATGGTGAGCTTTCAGCATGTCTCTCTCGTACGTTTTTCCGAAGCCTCTGCTAAATTCTGCATTTGTTTGCCAGAAGACCTATTTCTAGAGAAGGCGGTCATTCGCTTTTGTCGATGAAAAACGCCTTGTTTTGTAGCTGTTGGCTGTGAATGTGTGCAGGACGGGGTATACACTTCTACAAAAGTGGAAATCGGTACGAGAGAGAGTTTAAAAACGGGAAACGGGAAGGTCTTGGAACCTTTTGGCTCATAGATGGCAACAGGTATCGTCCTACGTACAGAGGCCATTGGAAGAATAATCTGTGGCATGTAAGCCATCGATGCATTCAGTTCTTTGCTGCTGTTTTCTGTTCCTCTTGACTGTTCTCGCCACAGGAGATGATCTCCCTCAATACGCGAGTGGTATTACTTCTGTTTTGCATCCTAGTATTCTTCATCTTTCTACACAGAATCCAAGCCATTCTCTGCTCTCAGTAGACATTACTGTCGACTCTCTATAAATGGTAAATGGTAAATAGATCAAGCCCGTGGGACCCAAAGGGTCAAAAGGTTGAAAAACACAATACAAACAATCCAACCGGCATTTGAATCTGTGTAAGTTAAGTTTCTAGCTTGAGATTGCTTGAAGGTCTCGTATACTCAGCTGCTGTTTGTCAAATGACTACTGATGTATTGCATAGACATAAACTGTAAGCGTTGTTTCTTATACGCAGGGGCCCGGACTTCTTTTTGGACTGTGTGGAGAAAGATACGACGGCTACTTTGAAAAGGGCAAGAGATCTGGACTCGGAAAGCAGATTTACAGGCACTGGGAATCCGAGAAAGAAGTATATCATGTCTATTACGGCGGGTGGGCAAATGATAAGCGGAATGGTGTCGGTACTCTTACCTTAGGTGAGCATGACCTGCTATGTCCTTGTCCTTCATCGCAATTTCAATCTAGCGAACTACTTCTCGAGTCACAGAGTCCTTCTGACAGGTAGGTTTGTTAGAATACTGTTATCCTCCCTTCTTGTCTGTGCGGATTCGTGCAGTTAGTGTATTTATAGTTAGGACTGTGATGTGGACCCTTTGTATCCCGGGGGTGTGTCCCTTGGTACCCCTTGTCACATCCGTTACATCCCTTGTCTCGGATTGGGTATTTAAACCCAATCCGGAACCTGTATTTTATTAACAACTCTTATGTGGATCCTTCGTCAAAACTAAGGAAACTGTGTCGACCCATTCTTGCATTGCTTTACTTTTCTAATTTTGTATCACAGCTGGTTTTTGAATCACGAAAAGCATTGGAGGAGGCTTCTTCCTAGGATTCATTCTCTGTGCTTATTCCTGCAGGGCTGTGTTTCTCGCCTCGGCTCCCGTTGATCAACGAGCAGCCTGCTTACTCATGCACCAGTGTTATTTTTCACTTCTTCTGATGCGGATATGACAACCGTCTCGAATAACTGAACCGTGCCCTCTCGAAGATTCGCTGTCAGGCACTCGGTGGACGAAATTCCAAAAAAAAAAAAATCGGAGTTGGGATCAGCGTTCTGCGCGAAATCGTGGAGAACGTGAAACACAGTAGCTTTGTTGAGAAGTTCAATAAAGTTCTGTAAGATGACTTCTCCAGGGATTACAACACGCAATGATCTCCCCAAATTCAATGGGGAGCATTTTCATTCCTGGAAGAACAAGATGAGTTCGATATTTCGAGAGGAAGGATTGATGGACGTAATTGAAGGTAAAGAGCTTCGGCGGACCACTGCACCTGGTTCTACAACCAGTACACCTGCGTCGTCAGGAGGAGAGAGTAAGAAAGAATGGGATTATAAAAACCTTATTCCCTTAGCGATGTTGAAATACTCGTCAGGAGCAGAGAGGAAGAAAGAATGGGATGATAAAAACCTTATTTCCTTAGCGATGTTGAAATACTCGTTGGACGCCCATCAACATTTGATTGCTCGCTATGCTACAGCAGCAGAGGCTTGGGCTGAACTGAATAGAGTTTTTGGATCCCATGACTTACAAATGCAAATGCAGTTGAGAGATGCATTGCATACACTCAAAATGAAGACAGGCGAGTCTGCGGCGAAACATATCATCAAATTTCGTCTACTTCTTGCCCAGTTGGCTTCTGTAGGGCAGACGATTGCAGAGGCAGAAGCTTATACCTGTCTCCTTCGAAGTCTTCCTTTCGAGTATAGATCTTTTGTGCGTTCGATGCGGTTACAGCACACGTTGACCACTCAATCTGTCATTGCTAGTCTTCTTCTTGAAGCATCACACCTCCAAGAAGAAGAGTTGAACGACAAAATGGCAGCACTCTACACAGATAAAAGACGAGGGTGGACTACCTCAACGCCAAAGATGATGCATCCAAAAAAATCCACTGAGGTAGATTCTTCATCACGACAAAAAACTCCTTCTAAATCATCTTTTCCCATGCAAAAGATGAAGTGCTCCTATTGTAAGAAGCAAGGCCACCTTGCTCAAGAGTGTCGGAAGAAGAAACAAGATTCTGCGGTGGAAGACAGGTTGGAGATGTTAGGATGGTACCGTCAGCTAGAAAGAAATGTTGGAGGTATAAGGAGGGTTCCGAGATTTTAGGATGTTAGAGAAAGGCATTGGTAGCTAGTAAGTGGGAGTGTTAGACTACTGTTATCCTCCCTATTACTTTTTGTCTTTGCGGATTCTTGCAGTTATAGTTAGGACTGTGATGTGGACTGTGACTGTGATGTGACTACGACCCTTTGTATCCCGGGAGTGTGTCCCTTGGTATCCCTTGTCACATCCGTTACATCCCTTGTCTCGGATTGGGTATTTAAACCCAATCCGGGACCTGTGTTTTATCAACAACTCTTATGTAGATCCTTCGTCAAAACTAAGGAACTATGTCGACCCATTCTTCCATTGCTTTATTTTAAGGTTCATGTTTTAGCTTATCGTTTCTGTAAGTTTGCCTGCTTGGTTTCGTGGTCAGTATTCACGTACGTCTTGGCCCTTATAATTACTCACCTTGGAGAGTCTTTCCTCGGTAAGTCCGCGTTCTTATCATCTCGTGGTTACTTTGATCAAAAGGCACATTCTATTTACAAACTTACCTTGAGAGCAAGTGTTCCCGAGCGGTTCTCTCAAAAGGGCAAGAGATCTGGACTCGGAAAGCAGATTTACAGGCACTGGGAGTCCGAGAAAGAAGGACATCATGTCTATTACGGCGAGTGGGCAAATGATAAGCAGAATGGTGTCGGTACTCTTACCTTAGTTGAGCATGACCTGCTATGTGATGTCCTTCATCGCAATTTCAATCTAGCGAACTGCTTCTCGAATCACAGATTTATACCGTCGAGGCCTTCTGACATGTAGGTTCATGTTTTAGCTTATCGTTTCTGTGAGGTTGCCTGCTTGGTTTCGTCGTCAGTATCCAGGTACGTTTTGGCCCTTATAATTACCCACCTTGGAGAGTCTTTTCTCCGTCAGTCCGCGTTCTTATTTGCCTATCATCTCGGTTACTCTGATCAAACGGCTACTTTGATCAAACGGCACATTCTACTCACAAACATATCTTAAGAGCACGTGTTCCCGAGCGGTTATCTCTCATTTCATGCTGTTTAAGTCAAGCATGTGCAAGCATCTCTTTTTGATTTCAAGATCTCTAGCTTCATACAACGAGGATTATTTCAGCGAGTATCGTCTTTTTTTTTGTTGGAAGTATTATCTTATTTTTTATCACAAAGTGACACGTTTATCAAGGACACTGGATTGATGACTTAAAGCACGGTCTTGGAGTGTTTTACTATAAAGATAAGGAATCCAAGTACGAAGGATTATGGAAGGATGGCGTGCCCGTGTGTGGAACGTACAGCAGAAATGTGAGGTTTGACGATGACGAAGATAAGCTGCCCTTGCCTATGTTGGATATGGCAAACTTCCAAAAGTTAGTTGGAGATCTTATAAGCGATGCCTGGAACGCCCCGCCTCAAAGCACGCTATGACATCCCTCCAGATGCTGTATGATTCTCGTCAGAACCAAAAAGGTATATGCATGGAACTCAAGCAACGTCTCAGCTTCAATCAGACATATTTACTCGTGAATCCGTGTTGACAATGCGGTCTACGGAGGTGATTGTCATATATCACACTCCAGTTAGCTAATCCAAGGAGCCACATTCGGAGTCGACTTGAGATTTGAGCTTGCTGTCACCGCTCCACAGCCATAAGGACCATACTCGTATTCCTTTGGAACCAATTATGTCCATCAAAACTGAGGTTTAACTCTGAAGATATGCATTATTTTACAGCCACCGATTGCAGCCACATTTGCAGCTGTGATGTGAACCAGTATGACAAGTTCGGAACTCTGATCAAATTGTGCTCTCCGCTCTAAATGTCTATAGATCAGTCGTCAGTTTCTAAAACTTCCTCGGTCACAAACGGAGTAGTCTTTCCTTACTGCGATGAGCAGAGACCAGATCGAACATGCTCGTGATTACGTAGTGTCAATGCCTGGCAGGGCCAATGCTTCCAGTAGCTAGTGAGGTAACGCAAGATGGACCACAGGTATCTTTGGAGAAAGATAACGCGATTACGTAAATACAGACACTACGGCTCCAGTCTTGAGAACTTCCTTACGATAAAAGTATACCTACAGCCACTAGTAGACTATTACATACACTATATAAAGATCACCTGGACCTTTATGTGTTCACATCAAGGGGGCCTATTCTGTGTAACGATAGGCTTGCAGTCACCGCTCCGAGGTGCCGAAGTGTCAACTGATATGAGGATCTTCCACATCCAAATATGTCCATATGCGCCTGTCAATTGACCACAAAGGGCCTCAGGCCATGATGAGCTACCTTAACCCTATACTTCAGTGCCAGTCATTCCAGTTAGAGTTAGCCGATGCTTATTCCTCATCGCATTGCTCTAAGAAGAGGAGTTTACAATCCGTGAGCTTGATGTAGTAACTGAGTATCTACATCACTGAGTATCTACATCAGCTGGATGTTGAATGACACATTTATTGAAAGTGAATATATATTGGATGGTAGAAATTCCACTTGTGACAGTTGTGTAGTAGTTCCACCCAATACCTAGCGAGCCTACCTAGGTCAACCAGCAGGTTCATGTACAATTAAATGAATTTCGTTTTACTACTACATGTACTTCTTTTGTTTCTATATGAAAGCACTAAAATAAGACAGTCAGTATGGAAAATTTGTTGATATTAGTGACAGGCTTTGATTCCTAACTTTAGAACAATTTGTAGCAAGAATTTGGACTTAACATTTGAAAAAATATTTGTACTTTGAATATGTCTTTTCATCCTTAGTGAACGATAGACATATTTAAAATTCCAATTATTACATTATAATTGGATGTGCCATACAATTCATGCCTTGGAGAGTGAAGATTATTGATAGTGTAAATGAAAACATATCAAATGACATATTTGGTCTTTAAAACATGTAACTCGATAAGAATCTATTTAAGAGAAAATACAAGCTTTTATTTTATTCAAAACCTGAGTGTAATTGATCGCTGCATTTCATGTTTTAGATGATTGAGGAATTGTCAATCCTATGCGAATCAAATATGCTAGCGATCCATATATGTGGTTACGGATACCAAATAGATGTTGTTCATTGAAAGATTCTATTCTCTGACTTCTGATATTATACAAAATTACTGAAACCAAAGTCCATTTTATGGTGAGAGGCATGAAAATCTATCGTAATACATGACAAGGAATCCTATTTTTTCATTGTACAACATATGTCAGATAACAAATAAGATCATTTGTGATGAGAGGAAAATATGATCGCTTGTTAGAACCTCATGCCATTTGGATATATATGACCCAGATGAATTTTGGCAACTGTAACGTGACTGGTTAGCAGAGGCCAACATTTTACTTCAAATCTGCACCCAGACCATAAACATCAGCAGCTACCTAACCCCACCCATAGCATTACCTGTGCCCATCCATGCTACGCAAAATTCTTGGTTGGATCTTGACAAACACTGCCCTTAGCATTACTTGAGCCCATGGGAAAAAAATGCCACCCAAAACCCATGGGCATGGGTGGGTTTGGGCACCCAATGTTGGGCTGTGCTGGTAGAGCTCCATTTTATCGCCTGGTTGAGCACTCGTCGGGGGTTCCATGGGTATTGTTACTCCACCTCGAAGAACAGGAAATCCTCTGCCCCAAGACAAAGTCCCACTACGGAACACCCGAAAGGAACTCTCGTCCAGACATCAGATTGCCCTGCCCAGGCCCTGGCCCGGACGTTGGCTCGCTCGCGGACATTGACACAAGATCAAACCCGCGTCCTCGCCTCGAGGCCGTAGATGCGAATCGAGGCAGAGATGGAATTCTTCGTGTTCCGGGCGGGGCAGGGCAGCTGCCGCTGCTCGATCCGGGCCCGGGAACAGAGGCGAGCGCGACCCGTCGGCGTGCCGGAGATGAGATGAAACGTGTGCAGAGGCCACCCACGTAAAGCGGGTCTGCTGATGCGGCCCCCTCGTGTCGCAGCCAAGTACACAGGCCGAAAATCTATCCGTGTCGTCGTCGGAGACCGGAGGACAACGATCGATCGCCGGGCGCGGGGAGCGGCGAGCGGGGAGCGATGCGCAGTCGAGAGCCTGGCGCCTGGTGCTGGCTGAGGCGGACGGAGCTTTAAAAGGAAGCGGCGACCATGGCCATCGAGCGAGGACGAGGAATTCGATGCCTTGGTCCGTTTCTGCTGCAGTGGCAGTAATTGCGTCGAGATTAGCTCCGACGAGGACAGAAATGGCGCATGGAGCTCGAGTGCGAGGCGTTATCGAAGGGTCTGGCGCGAGGTGATCGATCGATCGATCGCATGGTGGTGGAAAATTCGCTGGCAATTCCGACCGACCTTCCGAGACCAGGTTGGTTTGTAGATCTCGCGCATGTGGAACGTGCAGGGAGGCCGGATTGTAGATTTAGACTTTGAGTTTTAGTGTGGGGAGGGTGCCGGGCAGCATGCGATTCGCCCAAGCATGGCGGATGCGGTGTTAGGTGTGATCCACAGCGAGAAGGCACCGCGGATAACAAATTCTTGCCGGTCGACACTCTTCGGAACTTGAATCTTGTTGAAAGCTCGAGAGGGCTAGAGGACGCAGCTGGAATCTTGATCTCTGCCGTCCCGAGAGATGGGTACTCTCATTCAAGTGGGTGGTCTTGGTTCTTTAACGCGGCTTCAGACTTCGGATTCGAGATGCAATTTTAGGGTAAGTAAATACATTTGGGCATACCTCTTGTTGAGTCTTCTGCGCCTTTTTACAAGATTAGTGAGAGTGAATCGCTCCTTTGTTGAGCGAATTTTTGGACTGTCTTAAAACAATTGATTGTTGCTGAAGCCAACAACTAAGGAGGGGAATTTGTACAGAGCAGATGTAGAAGTTGTGAGAATTTGAGCGCAAATGGGTATGTGGCCACGGTTGGTACTACAACCCCGTTTTTAATTAAGATGTCCTGATCGTATATCAGAATCTACCCCATAACACTAAAATGTGCTCCTCTTGCTCCACGCGTCTGGATGGAAGAGAGAAGCTGAGATTTGCTCTTGAGATTGCGGAGAGATGTATTTTGAATGAAAAATTTCGACGGATGTCGTCGCGGTCGTAAGAACGCAGTCGTTCTGAGGTCTAGGGTTCCTCCTGACGATCTGTGGAATTGTGTGTGGACGCATTTGCCAGCCGAAGGCGAGAGTTGTTATATCGCGACCGAAGCTAAAGCGAAGTAGACTCGTCGCAACGAGCGCAGTGGTGGCATTCCCAGATCTGCAGGCAGACGATTTCCGACACCCACTCGACAGACAAAATACGACGCTCCTGCGGGCAATTCCAGGCTTGTCGGAAGTGGGCAAATTCCTGCTGGGATCCACGGCTGAGCAGGTGATGCTGCTGGAAAACATCGGCACATCAGTTCTGGTGGGCGAAAATCAGCTCTCGGACTTACACAGGCTCATGGTAAACGCGGCGAACATTCTGGATCTCGAGACTCCAGACCTTTACGTGCGCCAGAATCCTGTGCCCAACGCCTACACGCTGGCTGTATCGGGGCGCAAGCCATTTGTGGTGATCCACACCAGCTTGGTGGAGCTGTTGACCCCGGCCGAGCTGCAGGCAGTGCTGGCACACGAGCTCGGGCATCTGAAATGCGACCACGGAATCTGGCTCACATTCGCCAACATCGTGGCCATGGGAGCATACTCACTGCCAGGCCTGGGAGCATTTTTGGCCCGGAATCTGGAGGAGCAGCTGATGCGGTGGGTTCGAGCGGCCGAGCTCACCTGCGACCGGGCGGCCTTGCTGGTGGCGCAGGACCCCGAGGTGGTGATCTCGGTGCTCATGAAGCTGGCCGGAGGGTGTCCGTCCTTGTCAGGCCAGCTGAATGTAGATGCGTTTTTGAAGCAAGCGCGATCTTACGAGGAGGCGTCGCAGAGTCCCTTGGGATGGTACCTGAGGAATGCCCAAACGCGGCAGCTGTCGCATCCGCTGCCTGTGCTGCGGGCCCTGGAGATCGATCAGTGGTCCAGGAGTGCAGAGTACAAGGCTCTCCTGTCGCAAGCCTCGAGGGCGGCCAAGGCCAACACGTCCCGCGCAGGCGCCCTCAAGGCCAGGCGAGGATGAGGGTCTCAAATCTCAGTAATCTTCCTCCTACTCCAGCGCATGGACGGTGCAATTGCTTGGGTGGCCATCAAGTATCTCGACCAGGCAGTGCTTTGAAGTCTGCCCTAGTATAGCAAGCATCTCACAGCACGTTGAGGGTAGAAGTTCCTATACATACGTTCCATCTGTACAACAGTAGAATACCTTTCCGGAAAAATTAATAGGTCTCACAAAAGATTGTAGCGAGGAAATAGTCCAGCAGTGGTCAAAACAGAGCTTGTACCCCTTTCTATGGCGACAACGCCTGATGATGTGTGAATTTCGAGCCGGTGCTCGTGAACCCATGTACACTATTGTGGTTATAACGATGCGTGCGAATTAGCACGAAAAGAGATGATGTGAAGATATATTTGTCCATGTGAAATCATAAAACGGCTGTTTCACTTGATTCCTTTCGTTTACAGTGCAGTTTGTCTACTCCTTGAACACTGCTGCACATGAACATGTTACGTACGCATTATCCATCCGATTATAATTTGTTCGCCGGCTTATTCTCTTATCTTCTCACATTACATATCAAACAAGAAATATACGATATAAGTAAATACCATGTTCATTTCCTTGGAACGGAAAAATCAAGTATTTCTTCCTCACATTTAACAAAAAATAATATTCCTCTGTAGCTACTGTACGATACTTTTTCTCAGCATTTTAAAAATGGTACCAAAAACTTCAAAATAGCAAACATTCAATTTTCCGTTCTCCTCACCATCTTCCCACCAACAATATTCCAGAGGAATATTGTTTTTCTTATCATCATACACGTGAATCTTGGCTTTAAAAAAATTTTCTTTCATAAAGTTGGTATAAGTACATCAATCGGTCTACATCCAAGCCCCCATCTTCTGGTAGATCATTCATTGTATAGCTGCCACGATTTGTGCTCCTCAGGTCTCATCCCGTGGAACTCTGACTATGACCCACTAGTGTGATACTCCTGTTCTGCATTCATGTTGACACACGAAAATCCGAGTTGCCAGCCAGGGTTCATACCGCCGGCCTTTGTATTCTATACATCGTGATTGAATGACGATTCTCCTTGCCTTCACCTTCAAACTCGTCATGATCGTAAATGCAATCACTATTCTCCGTTCATTTCGCCAAGTTCTTCAGCACACTCGACAATTTCGATTTGCGCAAGCGCTGCCCAGGACTTCAACTTCGACAGTAAAGAGATATGCATCGCAGGTAGAGCACGGCCAAATCACCTTTGACAATAACCTTGCGTGCAAAACTGCACCTGACACAACATGACAGTTCCAATTCAAGTCATGCGAAGATTCGCGAATATATATGGGCAATATTAAATCTTGACAATTGTAATTGCACTAAAAGTTCCGCTGTGGGAGTGGGCCGTTGATGCACTAAGATAGATGGAACTGAATTGTACATAGCGTAGGGCAAAACAATCGGCAGACCGCCACTTCTATACATATTTTAACTTTAACTGGTCAAACTACAAATCTTGACATACACAGAGTAGCTTCCTTCCTCATTAAAAGATCTCTTCACGCTTTGGATAACAACATTACTGTCGTAGAGACAAGAGATAAGACCAAGAGGCTGACTGGTGCAAGAGAGAAGACAACGTCTGATTTCAGATGAAATGATCCCATTTTATCAATCTAGGTGGTGAACTTACATACCCAACATAAACCACTAAAGCTGTAGATGTCTGGCACTCATCTCCTTACACGATACTTATACAAGGTGGATACAAGAAAACGAAACTCATATATTTGGACTCATCTCAGCTAGGAATAGATGCAAGCAACATTGTGCCAAAAACAGGACCAGTATATTTCTTCAACGATGAGGGACAATTTACAAACATTTACAAAGAATGTACAAAAAACCTCGAAAATACAGGAGCTTTCTGGTTGCATTACAAGGAGACCAAAGAGCAGGGAGTTACTTCGAAAAGAGACTGCTCCAACTTTGCAGCCTTTATGAGCAGCTCCCGGCTAGGGTTGGATTGACGTTGTTCACACACCTGCACCCAAAAATGTAGTTTAGCGTCAGATGCACAGGTTCACGCTCCCTAGAAAGTATTTTCATCCCCAATGTTACTAGCTTGGAGGAGAATAGCCATCAACAGCAAGTGCTGGATAAAATTGAAAAACGTTGGGTGCATTAGCTCATCAGACGTTGAGAAAAACCTGAGAGGCAGCACTTCCAGCGTAGAAATGACCTTCTCTTTACAGAGCTGATGGCACTTTTTGCTGCCCGTCGGATTTGCCCCGGTACCTTGCAGTCACGAGAGCATGTTTCTCCAGCTAAACTAACTTGCACGTTGGCTACCTCTTCATCACATACCACCATCGTGCACATGGCAATGAATCGATGTAGGAGAAAATAGAGCTAATTGAAGGGTTCAGAGTCTTCAAGAGGTCATTTTTCTGCGATTGGATTCAAGAGCACAAATATCAACGTCAAACGCGTTAATAATTGCCAGATGTTCGACTGGAAGTGTGGGAAGACCTTTAAACTGCATGTTGTTATTCTGATCGTCCAGGGTAGCATACAGGAAACGCTTGTTTATAAAAGTACTGTCCAGTCAATAAATCACACTAATTCCAAAACGTGCATCGGAGAAAATCCATCAAATATGCAAGCAATCGAGCCATGAGCACTAACATGTATGGAAACCTCGATGAACATGGAGTCACATGTGGCAAACGTGCCAGAGCCAAGGCAAGAAACGAAGATCAAGAGGCAAGAAAGTACTTCCAGAGACCGTATACCTTCTCCAGATAATCAGTACAGTGCAGAGTGGACAACGAGGATACATGCAAGACACAGAGGCCTCACCTATCTTGGTGATTCTCGATGGCTGAATCTGTGGTTCCCTGTATCGTGTTCATGCCCGCAAAACCATGAGCACCGGCCAACTTCAAAAGGGCACGTCTGATCTCCGCAGCACGAGTTTGCCTGGCAGATTTCTCGTCTGCGTTGTTTCTAATGTAATCGGCATCATCCATTGCGTTCAGCAGCACAACCACAGCGGAGCTGCTAAATCTCCTTACACCATTGCTCACATCTTCCCCTTCCTCTCCTCCTTTCTTCAGTCTTTCCTTCACACTTGAGTTGTTCAGAGTCTGCAGACAAGCAAGCAGTTGACTGTGGTGGGATGACATCCAGCTTGAAATCACCACAGCTGCAAACTTTCCAAAGGCAGGAGGGAGAAAGAGAACTGCATTAACAAGCTGGGAAGTGGGCAGGTGATATCTCAGTAGGAGCAGAAGGCCTGACATCGCCTCTGAATTGCTTTGAGGATTGAGTGTACTAGAACATATCTTCAGCACCTGCAGAATGACAGCAGGGGAAGCACCTTGCAGCTCAGCTACCAGTAACCTCCAAAAAAATTGCTGCTCGATAAACTCCCACTTTAAGGAGTTCTTTATACATCGGAGCAGTACCTCCTGATGATCACCTAGAATGGCAAATTCGCCAAGTACTAACTTAAATTCGAAACTGCAAAGGTCCTGCGGATCTATAGTGGAGACCAACAGCTGTAGAATACTGTCCTTCCCCACGGCCAAATTAGGAAGATAGCGAAAGACTGAGGGCAGAACTCTCAAAAACCTTTTGGTGTTCCAGAGGAGGCACAATTCTAAATCAGACAATAATTCTACATCCATATTATCAGCTTCGACATCTCCAGATTCGACTTTCACACTTCCCTCCACAGTACAATTTTGCAAGCCCTGATGTTGAGGGCCTGCGCCATTGTTTTCCGTCTGTACAGTCGTCGAGGTTCCTTTGCTCGTGAGTTTCAAAAACTCTTCATAGGTCTTGAAAGCATCTGACACTCCAACACGGAGCCGTCCATCGATGTCTCCCCCCATCTGCAAATCTCTAGACCTACTTCCTTTCCTGGCCGCAGAATTCGAGTTTCCGTGAATCTTTGTGGTCGACCCTGTAAGACCATTCTTTCTAGGTTCCCTAACACTCTCTCCAGAGCTCTCTGTAAATTCTCCTTCTTCGTCCCCATCACCGTTCATACCCGCATCGTACGTGTCGTCCTCAGTCTTACTGGAAACTAGAATATCGAAATCCTGCCCTCCACCTGGAGACTTAGCAAGTCGACTTCTAGTTGCCGTGGGCTCAATCTCCTCTGCCAGTCTGGAAACGTAGCACAACAACCGCGCTCCTACGGCCAGCCCTTCCTTGTGCCAACAGTACAGCAACTGACGTAGGAGGGGCTGGCTCCTGCAATTGGCCACATAGAACCGAAGCAGAGACGACGTTAGAGAACTTGTCTCATCACCATCGGGTCGATCAGAGGGAAGTTTCGGCAGAGGCCCAAACAGCTCATAACCACCCTTCTTCAACACTTCGGTGATCTGACTGGCAAACTTGGCAATTGTAGTAGATGCAGGGTCTCCACCAGCATTCCCTGCTCCTGCCGACGATAAGTCGCCACTTGATGCACTCCTGGTTAACGAACTGTCTTTCAGAACCCTGTCCCCGAAAATCTGATCTGGCGCAGACAGGAACAAACTAAAAAGTTTCTCTAGAGCACTAATGGCGGCCTCCTGAGATCTTTTCAGGGCCTCTGTGAGCCTCTCAAAGTTCAGTTGCACTTCAAGGTGGAGACTCTCCGAGACACCCAGCCGCCTCCGCTTCCTGTTCGTCGTGTCCGTCTCGCCAGGTTTGGTATCCTCCGTGATGTCCAAGCTCTGGTTTTGGCCTGTCAGTGTCTGATCACTGCTTCCACCACCTCCATAAAGGTCTCTACTGGGAGAGCCCGGAGATCCCTTACTGCTGGGGCCAATCATTTGCTGTTGGACACTGTCGTATGAAGATTCTTGGTGAAAATGATCACCCCTCGTCATCTTGTAACCATCAGTCGGGTCGGTCTTACAGTAAGGGGCGAAGTAAAAGTTCAATTTATCTTTAAGCCATGAAGCAACAAAGGGTGACGCGCTGAGGCCATCTAGGGATGGCACGACACGCTTGTTAACTAAGATATCAATCGATGAGGTCACTCCCTTCTGTATCAGGTCCTTCCTCACAGGATCGTAATGTTCTATCAAAAGAAAGAGGAACTCGAGGAGTGCGTGAGTCATGTCCACATATTTGGGTATAGAATAAACCATCAGGAGGATGGCAGGTTCGATGTTCATTATGTTGTCAGTCTTGCTCATGAAAAATAACCAGTCATAAAAGAGAGCGAGCTTTGCGTTAGACTCGACGTGGTTGCTCTTGCAGCACTTCAGCAGCCATCCCACAATGGCCCACCGAGGGACTATATCTGACTGAAGAATCTGATTGGTTGGATGGTGGACGCAACAGATGAAGCGAATCAGGTCAGGAACGAGAGTTTCACTCTCAGGTGTAGACAAAAACCTCTGGGCAAACCATGTTTGATAGCGTCTCTGACTTCCCATCTTCACATGAGTGAGCATAAATCGTAGTTGGTTCTCCATCTCTGGTGTAACCCTCGATGCTAAATAACGGGTAGGAGTCCGGACGACATAGAGCTGAGCAATATCTGCAAAGGCTGGGGCTTTGAAGGCAGCTCCAGGATTGTTCAACAGATCTCTCCAGATAGGCTCAAATTCGGGAAATAAAGCTACATCCTGAAGAAGTCGCACCAAGTCTCTCCCTATCACAAGACAATCCTGGAACCGCTCTCTCAGTATTTGTATACAAAAGGCCGTCTCATTAACCTTCAAGTCACTGATATTTGGACCCTTCGCCACGGTGTGATCAGGAAGGAGGCGCAAGTACGTATAGAGAGCTGTGGTAAACAAAGCTGGGATCCCACTGAACCAGCTCCAATTGCCTTTCATGATCTGTAAGAGCTCAGCAGCAAGCCAGACATTGCCAGCACTCACATCACCCCCGGCCACCTGTCTCAACAGTGATAGACACAGGTTGTCCACATCGGATGCACTCAGGGTGATCAACTTCTTCAACAACCACAGCATCTGTGTGCGGCTTTGTTCCAACAACTTGCCATAAGAATCATTGACCATACGGAGAAGTATGGACACAAATGAAGCATATCCATCCGTAGTGAAAGCTGTGAGGTGAGTGACATGAGAGGGAGCCGCAGATGGGTTTTGTAAGATGCCGAATAGGAGTGCCTGCGTAAGTTGTGCATGCTGCGCAGGAGAGACAGTGGAGAGGTGGTACGGAGGGGTAAGCTGACCCTGAACACTAAGATAGGAACGCACGAGCAATTCTTCAAGCTCGTCTGGGGCCTCATTCACACCTCTAAGCATCAATCTCAAAGAGGAGGCCATCACTGAACCTGTCATGACTCCCCTCTAACGGTACTTCTTACACCCTACAGGTGTACCATCCCTGCCGGTAACCGTTGACGCTGTCGTACGCCCATCATCCAATATGCAAATTCCGTCTGGAACGTACACTAAAGTTCTTTTGCCTGTATACTCTTGTCACATTGTCTGTGTCCAGACTCGGAAGCCATGCATTCAAAGTATGTCCAAAATGCGGATCTAGCCTGCCGCTTGTGCTCCTGAGAGCGGTTTTCGACATTGCTGCAAAAATTAAACCCTAATTCATCAATTATCTGATGCAGAGCACAGTTCGCCAGAAACCCTGAGAATCAAAACCCTTGCTCAAGATGACCTCATCCAGCCTTTTAATACACTTGAGTCGTTGAAAACTCATGAATTCGTCTCGAATAACGAGGCAACTGCTAGCATGGCCAACTAATTCAAAGAAAGAAATGCACCCCTCTTGCTCAACGCATAACTGCGCAAATTCAAGAAGCGAAACAAGGCGAAATTCCTTCCACTAAGATAATCACAGACTACGCATGCACCTGTCCCCGAGAACCCAAACCACCAAGGCAAAGGAGCCAGACAATTCCAACACATGCGTCATGGACCGACCCGACCAGCCACAGCTCATCGCGCGCCCACATAAGAGAAATGAAAAGGTTGGCCTCGGAGCGGGAACCCTACCTTGGCGAGGAGCGAACAGAATCCCAAAAGATCAAGACCACCCCAAGCACAGCAGTACCTTCTTCTTGCCTCGAGCCACATCGGTCCCATTCCTCGTCCTCGTCCTCGTCCTCGACCGCACCTCCTCCGCCACCCGCACCGACGATCCTCAATCGGAGAACCGAATCAAAATCTAAATCCCTCCGTCCTCGTGCTGCTGGCCGTGCTCCAGATATACGGATGCTCCGATTCTTCGTCGTGTGTTCGTCATCACATGGCATTCTGCTCTTCTTCGTCTTCTGCCTCTTCCTCTTCGTCTCGCTCGAGCGTCGACCGGCAACGCACTTTTTCCCTCGCGAGCTTGCTCCAGCTCCAGCAGCAACCCCAGGGGACGGGAACCATCTCTCGCAGAACCAGAGTATTCTGCTGTCCCTCCCTTCCTCTCCCTAACGCACCCTAACGCGGGCATTATATATGCGTTGCGGACCCCATGGCGCCTTGTCCCTTATCCTTCCCTGTACCTGTTTGGTACACCTCCAGAGCATACGACGAAGTAACCCCGGCCACAGTTTAACCAGGTAGTATTCCGCGCCTAGGCCTTTGTCGCGTCCTCCACGTGGCGCCCGGTTCTTGTACCTCCATGTCCGTTCTTGTAGAGATGTTCTGTTCCACGTGGGCGGCCGGGACACGATCCGTCGGTCGAACCTGGAGCGAGGCTCTGGGTCACGCGACGCGAGCGCCCGAAAAGTTCCTCGCGAGGCCCGGAGGCGTGACCGCGACCAGCCGAGTTTGGCGCTGATCGGGTCGTCGTGCAGAAACTCACTTGCTGCTCGGCTCTCTGGCCTATGGCTCCCTCCCTTCCTCAGTGTGTGAGCATGTGGATTGCAGGCCAAGACTCGAGTGAAGCACTTTCGAGCAGCTCATTCATCACTTCCCATTGGCCAGCGCAATTCTTCCGTCAAGATCTGCCTCGTACATGCGACATCGGTTACCTCGGCAACAAGCTATGTCATTCGGTTCACCCTTTCTCGGTACCGTGTGTACTGGACTCTGCGTACTGGAAGCTCGTAATAATTGCGCATTTCCAGTTCTACCAGAGCTTCGCCCAGCACCCGACGAGGCTCTTTCTACGGAGGCCTGTTCCTTGCGTGGAGCCGGCGTAGGTCGAGTCCCACAGCGAACCCGTTCGCTCGTCCATCAGAACAAGTTTTCGTTGTTACTATGGTAGACCCTGTTCACAAAACGGGCTGATTCCCCTATTTTGATCTTTTCACTTCATTCGTAATATGTCAAGTGAATAACATGGAAGAATTGTTTATCGTCTTCATACATCTGAATCGGTTTCACGTTTCGATATGCTTTATACAAGTAATATTTTTGTTACCCGTAACAATTTCGCTGCATTTAAAGTAGATTCAGAGATGTTTCTCTAGTTTCTTTATCTAAACTAGGATAAAATTTCCAAATTCACTTTGAAATCAATTTAATGTATGAACCACTCTGAGGGTGACAGAACTAGTGAACGTAGTAATGGTTACACATTTATGCATTCTTGTTTAGTACATCTCCATAATTATTTCTGATATTACCAAAATTAAAATACAGTATCTTGTGATACTGTCATTCTGTTAGACAGTAGGAGAACATAGGAAAAAACTGAGTAAAGCTGAGACAAAAGCTCAGTAGTTTCGCAAGTGTCAAAAAAAATTCATCAGAACTCGTTAGTTCAAAATTGGAATTATTTGCTGTTTAAAACTTCAAACCCTTGTTGTTGGCCTATTGCATTACATCAAAGCTATATTTATAAGTTACATGTTGAAAAATTAAGAAATTTTGAAAACAATAACAAGAATAGAATACATTTAAATCAAATCTATGAAAAAAATCCTCTTTGATGATTGGACAATTTAAATTGTGAAGAATATGTTTAAAAACGTAGTCAAAAAAGTTCGGTGAATCTAGAAATAGATGGAAGATGGTTAACATTGTACAATAAGAACTAGCATAATACTGTTCACAGTTCCAAAACTAGGTGATAATAATTATGTACATTTTGTGTTTTTTATGTGTATGTATTTATTTGTTTATTTGAACATAAAATAGTTTCTCAAAGTTTCTACTCCAACCCAAATTTTACTCAAAGTAGCAAAACCTCTAAGTTTAGTAAGAGAGAGATTCGTTTGTCATCAATAAATGCATACTATTATTGAGTATATACCTATATCAATGTATATCGCAGAAAGAATCCAAAAACAACAATTAATTATATTGGTTTGAATGTATATAATGATCAATTAGCTTAAATTGCGCGCGCAACTTTTGTTTTCAAATGTACACCAATCTCGTGCACATATAATACACGAAATAAACTTAAGAGTGCATTACTTCGAATAAGCCGTTAGTGTGGTTAGACAGTGAGGCCCAGGATATTAAGGGACTAAAGGTAGTTATTTTGGTCCTTCTAATATGTATTCTCGCGCACGGTGATCACCTTCTACAAATAATGAAATGTACTAACCAGATACTTTACTGTACTTAAGTACAGATCCGAGCTCATAATATGACATAATCTGTACAGAATTAGCATAAGCCTACTAATCTATGGATGCCTGTGATACTCTTTCTGCGTACAACTCTTGATTGTGTAGAAACTCAAGCGTCTTAGTGTAAGCGGGATCAGCACGATTCAATGGCTTGCACGAGTTTACATGATCAGTGCCGGGAAGTACCTGTTATCCCACCAGAAAATGATTGATTTAGACACCAAAGTGCTACTTTCCAAATTACACGGAAGTAAGCTGCAAAACTGAACTCATAAACATTTTCTGCCATAGCCTGAAGACCTGATCCGCTGTGTTGATGAAGAGCAGCATATGCCAAAAGTGAAACTTCAAATCGATGGACAGGTTGCGATTAACACAAAAAGACTTACAACCAGTTCGCCAAATCCTGGATAAGCTGATTCAATAGGTACGACTTCCATTCGAAGACCCCAGCCACCGTAACCTTCCACCAGAGGTGTCACTTTAGTCTGGACATGATAGAAGAGCATATTCCGATTAGAACACGTGAAACAAATTCAATGACGAGTACGATGAAAATCCAGAATTCGAAACACTCCGCAACAAAACTGATAGCCCGATGTCCATACGCAGAGAGAGACACACCTCACTAAAACTTAAAACATCCAAATGTCCATCTTTGTGCAAGTGCCGAAGATAATGGTTCAACTCCTCCAGTCGTGGAGATCCACTCCTCAACTCTCCTATCTGCGTCGAAGTGATAGTGATAGCTACATTTAACATAAACCGTGCTGAATTCGGCAATGAAACCGGGCGATTCATAAAACTGAAGAAACAAAATAGTTTACACAGTGTACAGTGAATTTTTGAATTGAGCACAATAATTAGGTAGGACAAAAAGCCTGACTCACCGTAGGGGCTGGCCTTAAAACAAGCCCAATACGCCAAGGCATATCGGCAAGCTTGCTGCCAAAATGTGGGCAGCTGTAAAAGACCTGCATCATATAAAATTGCACCATATTGTAGAGCAAGGTCTAGATCAGAAAAATCCGACCTGATTGGCAGGTAAAACTAAGAAAGCAAATATAAGCGGGCAATAATAAATGTCGAGAACAGCTACTGCCAATTTGATGCAGGTGCTTTCTTCCAAAAACACTTTCACGAGTACTTACTATGCCGGTAGTTTGATTTACAAGATGTGCTCTGGATTTATCTCTTCCTGCTTGCAAGAGCATCTGTTTAACCACTAGGCCACCCATGCTGCAAAAAGAGAAATATCATCACAACTAATACTGCTCTTTATAGATATATTCGTGCCAGATGCTCAGCTTCGTCCTCTACGTTGAAAATGAAAACATATAATTTGCATAGACATCACAGTGAAATATTTGAGAATATACAAACCTATGTGTGACAAATACTAATGGCCGGTCGCCAACTCCTGCAGCTAACAATTTGTCCAGCAGCATCGAGCTCACTTCCTATAACATGAAAAAGTAATAAATAAGACAATGTTCTTGTTCTTATAGATAGCCAAATGTTTTATGGAATGCTAAACGTGCAATGGACGCAACTGTACACGAGAAGTTGTAACTTTCAACTGCAAAAGACCCAAGTGAGTGAGACTTTGGAGCTCTACTTCTCGTAAAAATTTATGGATCAACTCTGAAGCTGCAAACGAGCAGAGATCATACCTGAAGGGGTAATGTAGCTCCCGACCACTCAGAAAGATTCGTCTGAAATCAACGTTTAATTATGTATTAATAGTGTTACTAGCAAACATCCAAATGCAAAACAGAACTTCAACAATGCTGTCAAGACCTGCTCACTCAGCAAATAGTGTTCTCAATCGGAGTATGATCAGGTCAACATTGCCGTAACACTGGAGGTTTCGGGACTTTTACTACTATGCTATTCAGGTAAAAAGACAACTCTCAGCCATGATGGTTTACCAAAGTAAACCATTTTGGTATACATTCTCTGGCCGGTGTATATTTAACTCCTGAATTACAACTGTCCACATGACGCTGATCCTGATGGAAAAATGCACATTTCACTGAGGAAGGACAAGGACAGGCATATTATCCATACCAACATAGTTTACTACCTTTTGAATTCTGCCCATGTATGAGAACTTTATAAGAAGCTCAGAGATCCTTCGCTGATGACCATCATCTAAGGATCGGCTCAGGAAATAAGAAGCTTACAGGGTAGAAACTGAGGGTTGAGAGCTACTAGTCACTTTTGTCCAAATACAGGTATATTACTGAGAAAATGAGACGAGCTGGAAAGATTCAGTGCAACATTTTTCTGAACTTTCACGTATGTATACACCAGCGGTTTATACTAAGTCTCCATACTCAGGTACATAGATGCACATATGTAAGACCCATTCCCTATTCAGCAACCTATATGGATCAGCTAAAGTATGGAGGAAGCTGATGGTTCTCAATGCCGATTTTAATGATTTGTTCGTTCATGCTTATACAAAGCTTCGTTAACATAATAAGTCTGGACGCAGTAACTTGACAAAAGTAACAAACTCAGCTGGGATATTTACATGGAAAAGATCACATGGCTTGGACAATTGCTGTATACGAACATTAATATGTATCAGGAATATCACAAGGAACTGGACGAGGTTGAGGTCAGTGAAGAAAGTTTATAGAAGCATGATGAGGCCTTCGGGTAGATTAATAAACTTCAGAAGATGAAAGAAGATCCAGACAGGATCCTCTGGACTAGGGGAGCATGAGTGAAGAAATTGATTCACGAAGACTGGTAGAGGAGATCTCAAAGGGGAACTTTGAAGCCCTGACTCTCAAACCTGATTATGAGGTTTTTCATAAGAAATCTCTCCCCAGATATCCGGAATCTTGTCGTGGATGTCAACAATTCTAAATATAAACAGCAAACGTGATACTTCATTTGAGCAAATAGTAGGATTGCATATTTCTCGCGCAACAGAGGTACAACAAATTTTGGCCAGTTCAGCTGTCTCAGAGGAGATCAACGTCTGGAACATGCTATAACCTTGAAACAGAATGCTATTGCCTTCAAAACGCCTGAAACAAGAGACTCTTCTTATAGGTATGGGAGACACTACTATTGATTAGCACCGTCGTGATAAATTTGAAGTTCTGTAGGTAATGCACAAAAGAGCTTAGTTACTGGAACTGAGCAGCTAGAGAAAAATTAGGAGGCCGCTTATGCCAGGTAGGAGATCAAAGATGGCAGTCAAGTCATATCTTCTGAGAATTCACGAGAGAATACTGTAGATAAAAAGAGAGGTGCTCAATTTGAGGAAAATCAAACACAATTAAAAAGCTAACCTTGTACTTAATAGTAAGCAATCGACTGCGAGGAAGATCATCTGCCAACCATTCTTGAGGCCAACAGGTACCTTGTTTCCCAGCTTCATCGTCAATCTTTTCAACAAGGGGAGTAGTACTTGACACCTTGTTTTCTGATACTCGCCACGTTTTATAAGGTCCACCGCGCAACCCATGTACAAATACCACATCCATAACTGGCTCACGTATAGCGTCTCCTTGATGTACAGAATGACTAACACCTTGATTTGCCGGACTAACCTCGTCCAATCTTTCCATCGTCTTCGTCTCTTGCTCGTCTCCTTGCGGAATTTGAAAATTGCAAACTAGCTTCCTCTTCCAAATGTCAGAACTAGGATTCATCAAGAATATCGTGTCTTCATATCGTGGCCAAAACTCATCAAGAGAATCCTTTCCAGTCTTAGATTTACCTTTGGTCACGGCATTGAAAATTGGTGGCCTCGGATTTTTCAGATATACTTGAGCTTGAGAAACATTCAAGAGAGCAGTCAATGCATAACTCCTAGTTTTCTTGTCGGTGCAGCCCGAGATTCGACCATCAGCACAACTTCTCAGCCAGGTAAACCACTCCCGGTCTCCAGTAATCACAGGCGATGCAGCAGGCTGTAGGGTCAAAACCGAGAGCAACCGTGCCGCATGTTTTCGAATATGTGGAGTTATATTCTGATCAACGGAGACATTCTTACTGCCTTTCTTCACAACCTGCGTATCATCTTTGGCGTTTTGCACAATCTGACTAGCGTTCTCAATAGCCTCAGAATCAGACCAGTCCTCGTAATCGTTGCAAAGGAGGAATCTTCGTAACAAACAAAGGGCGCCAGCATCCAAAATTCTTTGCCGCCATGCAGGCTCCTCTGCTGTCAACTCTGTTAAGGACTTGATGGCTTTTCGAACAGCCTCGGCTGCCTCTTTCGCACTGACTTTGGCTGTAGATTCCTTCGGAGCAGCCTTTGTTGTACTGCTGCCCATGACATCAAGTCCAAGCAAGTCTATCATAGGCAATTCTGCAGCGCTCTCAGCAACGTCACCTTCTGCCCCAGACACACTAGACCTGTATGCGGCTTCCTGAGCAATAACTTTTCCTAGCTGCGCAGCCGCAGCAATGGCTGCTTGAGTCAATTGATTCTGCGTCATTCACGAACAAGGTTATGGAAACTCAGATTTCCCGTCCTTGCACCTAATCGTCCAAGTCAGGATAGAGATCACTAAATACATAGATGTAATTCTTCCTATGGTTGTTCAGTATACTAAGTCTACTGATCAATCTATATCCTGTTAGCGGTATTGACGGTAGTCCAGAATGACATGATGGCCTCATGGCTCTTTTGAGCGTGGTACTTCCACGATCAAAAGAACCCACGTGATAAAACTAGCATAATTATTTCCATGATTACGAACTGTATATACATTCCAGGACTTCTAAACTTGTCCTCACGCAACACACTGACTTATTCCTTGCATCCAGGAATGGACTATAACTACGTCAGCATCGAAATTCTGAGATCTTAAACCCTGCTAATACCAAGCATCTTTCTCTCAAGCTCGGCTACGGTACTCAGTCAAGCTCTCCACAAGAATAATTCATGAATTGAAAAGTGAGTTCAAAGTTGGCAGAAATACATACCTGAACTTGCTCTCGCTCCTTCGCCTCACTGCTCGCATGCCCATGCCTCTTCGTTTTCACATGTCCTAATTTTCCGTCTGCAACTGCTTCTACGAGCAATAGCGCTAGCCAGGCTTGTGAAATGGGGATGCCGCCCTGTCCAAGATTGTTCAGCACCCTAACAAGTACTCTTGAGCCACAATCACGAGTAGAATTGTCACTTACTCGATTACAAGCCCATCTCAATAAAGTAGCGGCCCATTTCTTACTTTCATCTAAAGGAAGACCATCTTCCTCAGCGGTGAGCACATCTAGCAGCTGGGCCAGTGCTCCCTGAACGGTTGAGTTGACCTCAGATTCATTAGCGATCTCGCGCAAAACAGGGAGACCTGTCTGAAACACAAGACTCTGCGCAGGTTTTGAGCGAGACACACAGGCAGTCAGCGCTAAAATCGCACAATGTGCAAGAGAAGTGTCTTCAACTTTACCAGCCTGGGCAGCGACACCTAACAAAGCAGAGCTCCAGCGAGGAGCAATATCATTGAGGGCATAGTTTTTACTTCCAAGAAGTAGTCTCATAGCCATTGCTCCATGCCATTTGACAGTCTTTTCAGGAGCTAAGACAGCTGCTAAGAGTGCCTCCCCATCTCCGTCAAGCTCCAAAATCTTCGCACGATTTCCAGCAGATGCCTGAGCCCAGTTTGCAAGAGCCCAAGCTGCTAAGGGTACTGTTATGTGTCTACCTTGCAGATCATCCCACAGACCATACTTGGCCCGACTACGTTCAGAAGCAGCGACTTTTTGGCCTCCCCAACTCCGCCGTTGCGACTTGTCAGAAAATGCTGTACTACTATTGCCATTTGAAGTGAAAAGTAGGGTCCTCGGAATCCAGAACTCCTTCAACTTTTCCATGAGACTACTATAAAATTTCTCACTAAGTGAGAGACTGTACTGTTCCCTCTGAACTCCGAGCACACCTGTACCACCAAGAACTCGGATCCCAATTCCATGAACTCCCTTCCGGTTGTTGCCAGTCTTACCGGGTGAGTCACTGTCTTTCGAATTTTGATCATCACCATGCCAACCACCGTCTTTCACAACTTGGAGAGCAGCGGCAATGTCTTCAGGATCAGCACTTTCTGGAAGTTTGGGTCTAACGCTTGCGACCTCAGCATCACAGCTGGACGTAATGAGATCCATAATTGCTGTCACTAGCATACTTCTCCCCCTTGAGCCCTCAGAGGCAATGTGAAGAGCTTGTCCTTTGCTCCAATCTTGAAAACCCTACAGGGTTAACATTTTTAGCTTCACAAGTCTACAACTCATACTTACACATTATTTAACTTTGTTTACAATGACAAACCTGAGGATATCAGTGGCTTAAAAGACAACTATTAGTGCTTGCAAGCATTTGATGACACCTACACAAGGGTAGACTCAAGGGAGCAGTCGCTACAAGTGGATGTCGCTACTGAAATTACTGCAACACGTCGACGCCACTTTTGCAATACAAAAATAATATACAAACTGTAGCAAGTTTGGAGGTGACAAGATGAGTAACACTACTTGAAAGCTGACGGCAATTGCATTTCGTTATTTTGATAGCAAGTGCAACAAAATAACCTAAAGTTGCAGCTGGGAAGACGCACAACAAAGAGACTGACGACCAAAATCATGATCTTCGCAATCTAGTGGACGAGGAAGAAACGGTCCATGGAGTTCGTTACCTGTTCGGCATGCAGGGACGATGCGAACTGAAACAATAATGACAAAGCCCTCGGTCTACTCAAAACGTCCTCACAAGTACTCTCATCAGAAAGAAGATATGCCAGTGCCCGCGCAGACTCCGCCTGAGATACCAAGCAGCCGTGAGCATCCACTGTTGCCACAGCCTTCAGCAACCAGTCTACTACCTGACCTCCGCCTGCTTCCACAACTGCTTTTCTTCTATACTCATGCGCCGCTATGTCTGCTACCAATGCAGCTACTCGAGGCTTCAGCCAGCTCCTGTTTGAATTTATGGTACCCTGTAAACAACACCGAAAAGTATTTCTTCAAAAAGTCATCTAGTTTTCATCCGCACAAAGGTGATGAACTACAATATGCTGACTTCCCAGCATGTTGTAGGAATGCATCAAAAGGACAAAGCACTGCTTAATGCTTGAATTTTGAGAGAGCCTGAATTGAGAGAAGTCAAGCTACCATTTAGACCAACAAGATCAAAATAGAAGTGAAGAATTGCATATGTAACGATGGGAAAAATCCACACTCCATTAGGCAAGCCTGAGCTATGTTAGCTTACTTCGCTGGCTGTCATTAAAACAGAAATCAGACAATATGCCAATGTTGCCGTCGAAGTTCCAGCGTCGATGACACTTTCTGCACCTTCCCTCAACATCGTTCCGACAGCTTTTTTCATGTGGGCAACTGAATCCCATATAATTGACCCAGTAGAGACGAGTACTCCTTTGGCTTGGGTCGTGCTTCCTTCTTCTTCGTAGCTCATAGCAGCTACTGCACTTACTAAAACTACAACAGATGCGGAAATCGCTCCGATTGCATTGTTCCTCTTTGTCCAGGAAGATGAGCGAATGTCATTGTTACCCACATTGACAACCAGTCTTTCTTGCTCGAGATGATGGGTCGAAAACGGCGAACCCGATGTAAATTCCTTCGACAGATTCTCCCCGTTGACCTAAGAAATGACATGGTAAGTAAGTTTTGGATCAAGAGACCTTCCGAATTTTCTCACTTCGCCTGACATTTTGCTACCGCCAAGTGATGCCTTTTGTGAGACAAACGGCCAACTGGGACTTCATAGCTCGGGAGGCATAACTGAAGACATGTCATGATCGACTGCGTATTGGAGCGCTTGAATCCTCGGAAACCTCAGGATTTTAAACAAATTATGCTCAGACTTAAAACTGTTAGTACTGGGAGAGTAATTGTAGCAGCCAACAGTCGAATTCTTGCACGTGAAATGGGAACACAGAGAACTGGACACGAGAGAAAATTGAGAAAATTGATCGAAAGGTCTCATGTACAACCTAGATTTAATTCAAAATCTTCTAAATTCGACAATTGCTGTTTGTCCCATGACAACCAACCTGAGGATGAGCATTCTCTGGAGGTGGCTCGGGAGAAGCCGACTTGGATGAACGATTACACGGAGACGAAAAGTACTTTCTCAGAGAAGCGAAATCTCGTTCCGGACCCAACTTGGTAGGTCTACATGCTAAAAGCTGAAGACAAGAAATTCCACCGCATCTTTCATTCTCGACACAGGGCCTCTGCCTCGCAGAGCTTTGGGGCTCAGCGGCAGGGGAGATGCGCGAGGATTGACGACCCACGACGCCATACTTAATCCTAAGTTGACGACGCACTTGTGTGCGGACCAGCATTGGCGTGTCTGGCTATGCATTCGCCTGTACCCTGCTTCCCGATGGTCTGAGCCGGCAAATCCACTCGACTCGTCGCATGCCCCAGCTCCTCTCGACCGCCTGCAGAGCCCTCCTCTCAGCGCGCGAATTTCCGCGACCTCGCACTTCAAATCAACAATGCTCTTCGTCCAGCCGCGCTCCCGGCCACCGACCTCGATTCGCCTCCTGCTCGGATCAACTCCTCGGGTCGCCAATAATAAACCTATCGGGGCCTCGCAGGGAATTCACGCAGCCACGCAAGCAACCGAGTCGCGGGACCGCGGGGGCAGATCCTGCAACGATTGGGTCCGAGGGCCGGACTGCGAGCCACGGAGGCAACATCCGATGCTCGAAACTCCGACGCCGTGAGTCGTGACATGTGTGAGGCAAACGGACGGGGGCAGCAGGCAGCAATTTGGGTTCTTGCCGAGTCGACACATGGCTGGAATGCAACGCTGGCGTGGAGCACATCCGCATTCCCACTTGGCATATGCCGCACTGCCCCGCCTCTGCAGCCGGGCTCCACCGGAGCATAACGCTCCGAGGTACGGCAACCATGAACCCTACGGCGGACGGTCCTATAGACCGGAGTAGGAAGGACCAGCAGGTCCGGTGGACAGCGACGGGGCCCGGACTGTACCGCAGGCATGGGTTCGCATCAACTGGGGGGCCCTGGCGAGGCGAGAAGGCAAAGCGCAGGAAAGCAGGGGACGGGACGGGACGGGCCAGGGCGAGCGGGGCCCACGTGTTTAGTTGAGACGAGGTTGGGAACCACCGTGGTGCAGGCCCAAACGAACCTCGTCCGCTCATGGCCGATCGCTGCGTGCTCTCGCCCATGCAGACCGCGGTCGCGGAAGGACACTGCGCGTCGGGCGTTCGCGAAACCCGGTTCATGGCCAAGTGGAGTCGAATCATCACCATCCATTTTTCAACTCTCCCACTGACTTACTGCTGCTCGCTTACCTGAACACCGGCCTCGACACTTTCTCGTCTACTGCCGCAGGTACTACTTCATGACCCTGCGGCTGCTGCACCCCGCCGTGTGTGCTGAGTTGTTCATTCTGGACGCAGACTCCTCCGCGGATTCTCTGATCTGATCTCTTCCTTGGCTCCTCCTCTTCCTACTCCTCTTCCTCCTACTCTTCTTCTGTTCATCTTCTTCTTCTGCTGCTGCTGCACTGCGCCGCCTGATCGACATTTTATTCCATCGAACGCGGAAGGTCAGTTTGCATCTCGCGCGACGAAGCGAGCGAGCGAGCGAGGAGGCGGTCGTGGATTCTAATCTGCAGAGTTGTAGGAATTTCTGCTCGCAGGGGTTGCTGGGAGTGCGAGCACAACCGCTGAGGTCGAGTGCGTTAGAAAGAAGGGTTGCTGTCTCTGCAGCAGGCAGGCAGGAAGGCGTCGGCAGGCGCGAGCGGGCGGAGCTGTGGCCATGGCTGGTGTTGCGACAGCTGCGGTGTCATGCATGAGCGTGCATTCGGTTTTGGCCGAGACCAAGTTGGGTCGAGGCACGAAGAGCGTCACTGCCAGCTCGTCGGACCTGCGCTCGGCGTCGTCTTCTCTGCGGGGAGCCCGCTTGTCGAGCCAATGCACCCAACGATCTCATGCACGGATGGCCTCCAAGACGCTGGTCGCCCCCAGGGCCGTCTCAGATTCTCAGAACGGTGAGAGTTGCCTGACGCCCGAGGCCGGTCGCAGTGTGCTGGGAATCATTTTGGGTGGTGGAGCTGGGACTCGTCTGTACCCGCTGACGAAGAAGAGGGCGAAACCTGCAGTGCCCCTCGGTGCAAATTATCGGCTGATCGACATCCCTGTCAGCAATTGCATCAACAGCAACGTCCAGAAGATCTATGTCCTCACGCAATTCAACTCAGCGTCCTTGAATCGTCATTTGTCCCGCGCGTATGGTAGCAACATGGGCGGATACAAAAACGAGGGTTTTGTGGAAGTACTTGCCGCGCAGCAGAGTCCTGAAAACCCCAATTGGTTCCAGGGCACAGCTGATGCCGTCAGGCAATACTTGTGGCTGTTTGAAGAGCAAAACGTGCTGGAATTCTTGGTCCTGGCTGGAGACCACCTGTACCGAATGGACTACCAAAACTTCATTCAAGCTCACAGGGACACCAATGCCGACATTACAGTTGCAGCCCTGCCCATGGACGAAGCCCGTGCCGAAGCTTTCGGTTTGATGAAAATCAACGAGAAAGGTCGAATCATCGAGTTCGCGGAAAAGCCCAAGGGAGACGAACTGAAAGCCATGGCTGTCGACACCACAGTTTTAGGATTGGACGAAGCGAGGGCGAAGGAGATGCCCTACATTGCCAGCATGGGTATCTACGTGGTTAGCAAGGATGCCATGATCAAACTGCTGCGCGACGATTTTCCTGAAGCCAATGACTTCGGTAGTGAGGTCATCCCTGGTGCCACCAAACTGGGCATGAGTGTCCAAGCCTATTTGTACGATGGATACTGGGAAGACATTGGAACTATTGAGGCATTCTACAACGCGAATCTTGGTTTGACGAAGAAGCCCGTTCCGGACTTCAGTTTCTATGACAGGACGTCTCCCATCTACACCCAGGCTAGGTTTCTGCCACCTTCTAAGATGTTGGATGCGGACGTCACAGACAGTGTCATTGGCGAGGGTTGTGTTATCAAGAACTGCAAAATTTATCACTCAGTCGTAGGACTCCGGTCATGGATTGCCGAAGGAGCGATTGTCGAGGATGCCCTTCTGATGGGCGCTGACTACTACGAGACTGATGAGCAACGAAGTGAGCTCTTGGCCACGGGTGGTATTCCCATGGGAATCGGAAGGAATTCTATCATCAAGCGAGCCATCATTGATAAGAATGCTCGCATCGGAGAGAACGTGAAGATTGTCAACAGAGACGATGTTCAGGAGGCCGCAAGAGAAACAGATGGCTATTTTATCAAGAGCGGGATTGTTACCATCATCAAGGATGCTGTCATTCCCAACGACACCGTCATCTAGATTATCTAGTTACTCAGACACCCTCTATGCTCGCGATTGCTCTCTTTAGAATATCTAGTTTTCCTGCGCAGCTGATCTTTTTAAAATGCCGTTTCCGCTGCTCTCTCGGTCTTTCGTAGTGATTCGCTTCCATGTAGCATATTTGAAATGTATAGAGGTGCGAAAGCATTAGGGCTCGCATCTTTGCCTGTTCGGAAGCACTCCCCGGAGGCAAGCTATCCTGAAGGATACTGCTGACAAAACGCCCTGTGGAAGTACAAAGCTAGCTCCCTTGCTTTAGTGAAAGGTGATAGGCAGGTTTGCTCATCGTTTTGTAAAAATAAATGAGTTTTGAATGTGCCGAGTAGTATCGCTCTTACTCCCAGATAGCCACTTCAGTAAGGAGCTCACCATAAATCCTTGCTCGCTTGTAGTCCAAATTATTTTATAGATCAGGGATCGTACAATTGGAGGTAGAGAGCAAATGGCTCTCATTTTGCACGAAATCAAAGGCGGATCAGACCATTCATTGTAATTTCCATGCACGTTAAATCAACTTGCCATCTCAAATACAGTGTACTGCTAGCATGAAATCCGTGTATGTTATGATATTTGTCATATGTTCGCAGCGAGAAAGAACGCAGCGGTCAGCATTCCAAGTGGCTACGCAATATGACTACGTATAATTATTCTGGAACAGTCTGCAATCTCTTTCATGATACTCTTTCCACGTAACACTGTAAGCCGTTGTCCAAAGCGATGTCCAACTAGTCTGCGTGTCCAAGTGACCATCCATGTTGTGAGCGAGAAGGCTAAGCATACAAACCCCTCTCGGGCCTGGCAGTAAATAATGTTTGGTAGATTAAAATTCCACCTTTCACAAGCTTTTGTCTGAGTTCCAACACAAATGGGCGGGAGATCCCTTCGTTGTGGCCCGAAGGCACCCTGCCGATGATAGCTGGACCAGACTGGCGCAGAGAAGATATTCTTTGTGAGGTCATCGAAGCAAATTTTGCACCTATGATTGTTCCTGCCATCGGTTTCTAGTCCAGACCTTCTGTGTAATGTGTTTTGCCCTTCGAAGTTGCCTTTTAACCCGGGGGTCTCATCTGCAGCATGAAGCGAAATCTCGGCAGATGGTCCCCACTAAAGAGCCACGTGGAATGTTTTTTGTACTTATCGTGTTCTGTGAAGGATGTCATTGGCCTCTGTTCTATTCAAGCACTGATACCTTTTCTCGCCATATCTTCGTGTTAATGAGGTCAACTTTGGAACTTGTAACCAAACCCCCAGCATATTTCGGAGGATCTGACCCGCCCTCTGCCGCTCACGGCAATGGAGAGTTGCCCTCCATCCTTTTGTGGGACCCTTCGTAACGAAAGATGGCCCAGTGGTTATTGAGTCGGTGGTTTAAATTGGAATTCAACCTTCCGATGTAAACAACGATTCCTCCACTCACGAGAAAATCTGAGGGACGATGGGAAAGATGAGCTCTTGAATGGTGTGGCCAGTAAAACCGAAAATTCTCTTGGACATATGGTTGCTCTCTGTCTGTGAGCGGTTGTAGTGAATCTCCGAATACGGTGCCACTTTCCGCAGAAGATCTATGTCATGTACGACAAAGGCGTGATAGTATTGAAAGATCTTGCCAAATGCATCTTTTGAAGGAATTTTGTGCGTTGCTTCATAACCATCCGTGACCCGTCTCGAGAATCGAAGGAACGAATGCTACCCAGACGTATCGCATCGAAGACATTGTCGTGTCATTGTATCTAGGTCTACTGGCCCCACGAGCTGCAGTCTACATAGACTCCATCGTCAGCGGGAGATCCGGAAAGGAAACCTCAACCGGCCGCGAGTTCATGAGATGCCTAAGTCCATGTGCTGCCGGAGTTGTGATGTGGCAGGATCGTTCCTCTTCTCCACTTTCTGGTATTTATTCGTTTGTATGTGTCGGTGAAAATCCCGTCTGTGAACCTTCATTCACGCACGAATTACACAACCCCCAGAGAGAGCTACAAAATCAGCACCTTACCAGTCCCTCTCTCACCTGCCAACAGCTGCACGCACCTTCCTACAATGAGGTCTACACGAATATGTATCAATTCGGATCTTAGAACTCATGAGACGGGACTCATGGAAATGCAGGAGCAAATAGCAGTGGAGCTAGAGTTGAGGCCAGAAATAACCCGCTTCATGCCGCGATAGACGTGACCTTCCGAACGCCTTGAAGAATGTTCTCAGTGCAGGTCGTTGCCGAAGGTAGAGCAGAAGCATACAAGAAATATGCTTGGGACGTGCAAAGCGCGTGGGGCAACTTCAGCTATATGATCGGTCGGGATTGAAAACTCTTTTTCCGATTCCGAACACAGTGTCTAGTCCGAAATCAGGAACGAGTGTCATATCTCAGTGCATGTGGATGCCACTCATCAAACAGGTAGTAGAGAATGGCATATCTTACTTGCTCAACAGCAAGAGGATAGTTGTTGACGTTGTTGGGTGTTCCCCACATCTGCTGATCTGAATACTGCTTCGCGGAGGCTAATCTTTACACCAGCAGGTCATTGCCAGTAAGGATTCTGAATTTCTGCTGAGTCGATCTTGTTATCATAAACACAACCTTGATGCAGCTCAAGTACTGCTGCGAGTGTACTTCTGTATAAGCGTGCAGCTATGGAGGAACTTCGTCACGACATTCATCACCAGGCTAGCCTCTTTATAAGTGTTTTCAGCTGCATGCCAGTCACAACCAGGTATACAGCAGCACCAACAGCACGCAAGGACTTTGGCACCAATCGTCACCGTGGATTCTTTTCTCCAAAGCAGTATCGGTGGATTTCAGGTTGTTGTGGGGAAGGTGCAGATGCTTCTCCAATACCGATCCCGAAGTCATAACCTCGCCTACTGATATACCACCATGTATCCAGTTATTGAAGGATCTACATGCTGTGCTGAGATGGCCGTTGTCACTTCTTCTTTCTTCTTGACGTCAGCACTATACTACCTGTAAAATTATACATCCGTCTTACGATTGCTGTGATGAGCGGTCATCATATGAGCATGGATCGGTTAGCGCTAGATGTTCACGTAGTCTGGGTTGTGGATTGCCGAGATGTTACAGTAGATGGGTTGAATTTTTTCCGCAGAATTAAGTGATGGTAAAGGATTGTAAAGCAAGTGACGAGCAGGCAAGTCTTGATGAAATTAATTGATCGAATTGCTCTCTCTCTCTGTAGGTAATGCAGACTTTCCCTCTCGCTCTTCACAAAGGACACCGTATTGTTTAGGAAGCTGAAGGACAGCCCTTTCCTCAAACTCTAATGTTGAACAGATGAGCTTTGAATCTGTATCAGAAGATTCGCAGATCCGACTAGATAAGAAATCACGTTTTTACTTCCAGCATTGAAAATTTGATAGGGTTATGGAACATGCTATGTAGTCGAGGCGCATCATACTCATTCGGAGGACTGCGATTGATCCCTCTGAGTTGGATATGCTATATTGCCAAGAGCAATCCAGTGTTTCGCATTCAGTCCTGCGTAACTGTTATACCATCTTGTTCGGTGATATTGTTACACTTAGTCATATCTCTTGACCACTGACCTTTGGACAAAACACGTTCATTCCACTCGTACTCAAAGGAATGTGTTGAATAGTAGTGAGATTCTGAATCCAATTGGTGGTATGAATTACGATAATATGGACGGTGAATCTGGTCTTACTACTCAATCTATACCGTAAACTGAACTTCAATCACTAAGCACAGACGCATGTTCATGATATCTGAAGTCCTTACAACTTTGTCCATGGTTCCTCTACCGAAGGGTCCCACGATTCATTGAGGACAAAGCGATTGGCTTGCCTCAATCAACAAGCACCTTGTGTGCATGTCTAGCCTTGTGATGGTTGAGGAGGAAATAAATCCATATATTGCTTGTGTTATCAAAAAGTGATCGGCAGCTGAAGTGAATCTGCATCCCTACATGTATTTCTGATTGGTCACGTATGGTTTTGAAAAGCGCTCGATAATGAAATCAGCGTTTTCAATAGATCATCGGGATCGATTCGGACCTTATCATTGCTTCGGTCGAGGCCATAACCTTTGTTACGCGGACTTGATATTTTGTCAAGTTTCCCTAACCAGGTTTTAGAACCCACAACATTTTAACGCATGTTGGAAACCACTCTACTGCCCAGGCAGTCACAGAAGATTGCGGCAAATGAACAGTGTCATGCTTCCTTTGTAGATGATGAGTTTTGAAATGAGTGAACGACTTCGTACAATACTTCGGAATTGGCACTGTGCTCAACGGATGTACGAGTATCTACTCCTCAGAGAAAGATAATCAATCCTAGTGCTGGTAAATCAGGAAGCGAAATTTTGAATGTTGTTTAAAGTTGAGCTATCATCTGTATCTCCGAATCGAGGCAGTTACAGTACCATATAGGCTTTTGTACTTCCAAGTCAAAGGACATAAACAATAAAATTCTCTCACGAACTGCTCACACGACCAAATAGCGAGCAGTCCCTTGGGGATGAGAATATCAGGCCTACTGACTGTAACTATAGCCAAACTAGATAAGAAGATTCTACAGATAGGACTGTTTTCTACGAAGAAAACAGTGCTATCTACATTTGACAGCTTGTCCGGTCTCTTGCTTTCTTGGATCTCAGAGTAGCCGCGTCAGAGCACAGCAAAGTGAGTGATTCGACTCCCACCCTTGTTCCATCCCGTCATCTTGGAGAGATTGGCAAATGGGCGGAGTTCTTGCTTGTGTGTGTATCCTCAGAATGCACCAATGGCGCGGTTGTTTCCTCTAGCACAGGCCATATGCAGCCATAACAAATATAAACAGATGGGAGTGTAAAGAGGAGCAGCTACATTAGTTGAAATCATATCCAAGTCGTATGTGAAATGTCAGCATCTCTTCGCCGTGTACGAAAAGCACTCATCTTCTTGCAGCTCAAACATCTTCAGAAGTTTGCAGCCAGAAGCGCTGAGGAAAATTTGGAACGGTTGTTGCCTCAGGCTCCAACAACACTTTCCAATCTTGCTTCACAGAGCATAACAAGATTTTGTCTCGAGCTGCAACTGACTTCAATCGCCGACCTACCAGTTGAACACTGCCACGATAGCAATGGAGGTGAGTTTGAACGTGGCATCTTCTCTAAGCCCGTGATTGATTTCTATTTTCGGCAGTAACGAAACCTCGAAGTAGAATTTCAGCGTTGTAGGATCCCCATCGCAACCCATCGGCGCAAACAGAGGTGTGCATTAAGCTTTTGGGTTCTGCTAGTTGTCATGTTGGGTGTTCTACGAGGGCTATAATCGGTAAAATCAGTCTTTTAAAGCAGCGGCGGCAATCTTCTTTGTGCGATCAGGGCCAGCGACATTCGATCTCTGATTGCATACGACACGCTATCAAGACCAGAATATCGCTGTGATGACGGCCACACTAAGGCTAAGCGAAGCCATGGAAGTTCTCAAGGAAAGCGTATTTGACACGAAACTGTATAATATATAGCAAATTAGTGCCACCGACAGCTCATAGAACGGTGGGTGGCA